GAGAATTACAGTTGATAAAAGAAACCTGTAATAAAGAATTTTATTTTCCTAAATATGAAGAATTTAGAAATTGGTATTTTAAAACAATGAGTTCGAAAGAACTTTAAAATTATAAATAAATATTTTACTTTTATATAAAAAGGGCAAAAAAGATAACTTCTTTTGTTAATTGGTTTTTGACCAATTATGTTTCATCTAATACTAAGCAGTTAAATGAAATAAAAATTTGTTTTCCAGATATTGAAGAAGCTGAGTTTATAAATGAACTCAACAGAAAATTAAAATATATTTCTCAAACAGAAACAATAGAAGATCAACAGATCAATACAATAATTGATCAGACTACTGATGATAAAAATTTGACTATTTCAAACAATGAATACAATAATTGATCAGACTACTGATGATAAAAATTTGACTATTTCAAACAATGACTCTCTGACAAATAATTCAAATCAACTTTTTCATAAAAAAAAAACATAAAAGCAACTCTACGAATTCTACAAAAGTCTTCAAAGAAAAGGACAAAAAGAATATTAAATGTTTTAAGTGTAAAAAATTTGATCATGTTGCTTCTATATGTTATTATTATATAGCAAAAAAGGCTATGAAAAAATTAAGTATAAATATTTTGACTAAATCACACATTTATTTTTGATCTTATAGATAAAATTCAAGATCTAAATTTTAAAAAAAAAAGTTATTGAACAATATTTAGAGATAAATTCAGAAGAAAATAGACATAATTTGTCTCAACTGTATTCTTTAAGAGAAGTCATTAATAGAACCGAAAGTGACATGATTGAAAATCCATTCCAAATAAAGGAAGTTTTACTTACTACAGTTCAAGACTTAAAAAAAGAAGTTCATAATGTCAAAGAAGACATAAAAGTCTTAAAGACTAAGCTTTTAGCCTTAGAAAAAATGTCACTTAAGGAAAATGACATTAAGGATGATAAAGTTTCACCATCTAACTCTTCAAATAATGAATATTTAAATGTATTAGAAAAAAAACAATTTATCAAAAACGGTATGTTAAAATTATATTAGTTATAAATTCTGAGTTTACTGTCGAAACTATTGTTTTAATTGACAGTAAAGCAAATATGAATTGCATAAAAGCAGGATTAATTTCGACTAAATATTTTGAGAAAACTACTCAGTCAATAAATACTGCTGATAGTTCAAATTTAAATATAAATTTTAAACTCTCTAATATTTTTGTATGTAACCAAGAAATTTGTATTCCTACCACTTTTATGTGTTATTGATAATTTAAATTAATTGATAATTTTGGGAACATCATTCTTATTTTTAATCGAACCTATAGAAAGAATCAATTCTAAAGGAATTTTGACTATCATAAATGGTCAAGAGATATTATTTGAGTTTATAACTCCGCCTCAAGTAAAATTGATAAATCAAATAAAAGAAAATCTTATTAATAAAAAAAATCAAATAAATTTCTCATCAACTTCTAACATATTGGGAAGTGATGTTTATTTTGCAAGAAAAGTAGAAGAAGTTCCAAAAATGAGTCATAACCCAAATTCATTTTCTTTGGATCTTATTATCAAATCTCTAAAACTTCTTGACTGTATTTGTGATTATGGAGGTGAAGATATTTTTAGCTTTGCTGCTACCTGACGTAGTAATTATTGCATGGTTTCACTTTGGTGTCTCTATTGTAATGCTATGAAAAATCAACTAATTGATCATGTATTTATCTTTTGTTAAGAATTGCAAGAGTCAAAAGAGAATCTTTAAAATTTTATCTTATACTTGAACTTAATGACTAATATTATGATTGGAAATATAAGCAATTAATGGAGAATATTGTCCTTGAAGGATTTTGTCAAGAAATGATAAATAAACTTTGTGGTATAACCGGCTAGAACCAAAGTTTTTACTTATAAAAATACATATTATTCTAATGAATATAAAAATATTTTTATGCATATAAAAGTGCATATTATTTCAATCCATATAAGGATACATATTATTTTAATGCATATAAAAATGTTTATTATCCTCCACTCTTTATAAAGAGATTATCACATAAAAGTGATACTGATAAAGCAAACCCATCAAAACAACTTAAAGTTGTTACATCTTTGTTAGATAAAGTTGACAGTAAAGAAAAGTTATTTGGAGATAAATCTCTCTCTATACCTAGACCTATGACTTTGTCTCCATATATGGAACTTAATTTTACATTTTTTCTAACTTTATTGAAAGGATATATCCTTATGATATTTATGATCTCAAATTAATCAGGGACTACCAAGTTAGTTACTGGAATAATTATCCCATTGACTCTAAATGTCAGATTATTGCGGAATGTCTTAAAGACATAGATAAAGAATAAGATACATATATATATATATAAGGAGTGATGATGGATTGCTCCAGGGGCTTTTCTATCGATTCCGGCGGATTGTAAGCTGTTCCTGACACACAAAAAACAGGTTAGAATAACGCCAAAGTGTTTTTCGGTGTATCTCCTCCGACAATCAAGTTAGTTCTTTGAGAGAGGGAAAGAAGAAAACACTGTATTGTTCTTGGGGAGTGATTTTGCGTACCTTTACTTTACATCTTTGGGAGCTATTTATATCCCTAAAAACTCATCATTACTGATGATCTAGGTAGTAGGTAATACCCAAACATGGGACAGTGCGTCTCCTATTTTACATGGGGGAGACCTTATTATTAATTGCCTTGGCTTCTGAGCATTTAATATTCTTTCTTTGATGTGGAGGTTTTAAATGCTCGGTCCCCAGAGCACTAAATGCTCCATATCTTCGGCTTCCCAAGGTACTGTGGATGTTCCATCAACTGAGGATTCATTAAATACTTGCTTGAGATAGCCGTATGTCAGCGGGGGCATTTTTGTCCATTCAACCCTCAACCTGTACTCCATGTCACGTGTCTAATTCCCCTAGGTGGAGGGTACTGTCCATCCTTTCATTCTGACTTCGTTGGGGAGAGCACACTCATAATCCCCAGTCTAGTTCTAAGACTCTATTAGATGTTAATCAGTAGCCCTCCAAAAATCAAAGATACATAGCAAGACTCGAGTGCAGCAAGTGTCTTTGGCGCCGAGGATACGTGACTACCCCAAAATAGAGGTATATTTGGAGCCGAGGACACGTGTCCGAGAGTAAATCGACGCTGAGCACATGGCAGAGGAACAGGTTCCTTTAGAGTTGTGCCTTCGTCAGAGCAAAAAACATGCCCTCGATGTCAAGGACATATATATATATATATATGTGGGGGGGGGGTGGTGCGTGTAGGACCCGGTAGGAAGACAAAATTTTTATGAATATTTTACAATCTTTTTTCAATTTTTACGAAATACCAAATTTTTTTTCATTGACATACTCAATTTTTTGAGGGAGTCGACCAATAGGGTAGGATAAAAACAAAATATTATAGTAATAAAATATTTAAACACTTGTAATTATAATAATAATATTGTTCATATCAAGTGTTTGTAATTTTAGGAATAATCCTAATCCCTGTGTTCAAAAAGAATTTCTGACAGCCCATTATTATACTAATTATTTTAATGGTCAAAAAGAATTTCTGCATATCACCCATTACTATACTTGTGTTCACACCATCTGCAGCAGCCAGATCTTAAACATGTTACTCTACTTAAAATAATATATAAAGGTAAAATTCACTCCAATCCCTTCACTTTGTCAAAAAAACACGACAACCCGTGATATTTGCAAAATAACTCTATTGAGCCCAATATAGAATTTAATTATAGGATGATGTAAATAAGTGGTTGAAATGGCTCGGAGACTTCGAATTCAGTGCCGCCAATCTTTTTAGATTATAGACGAAACGTGTTTTTATTATAATAAGTTAGATTATAATTTTATTTTTTTTGATAAATTTCATATAATTTTTTATTTTTTGATAATTTTCCAAAAATTGAGGATGATGTACAGTAGAATTAGTGTCTATCCTCGCTTGATGCCCTCTGGTTTGTCCTTTTCCCTCAACCCCTTCTTCCATCTCATCTATCCCTTCCCTTTAAGTGTCAACATCAACCACCGTTCTCACCCGTTTGAAGAACTACCTTGTCCCACTCTGACCTACTCTTACTATAATTTTAGAGTCATATCACCTTGACCCATTCCTATTGTAATTTTAGAGTCACACCACTGCACCACTCCACTACAACATATTACCTTCACTCCCAAAATTAATCAATCAACCACTTGTAGCCATAGTCTACTCACAATTTGTCAATTATCAAAACACTACGACAAATATCCAATCATGTTTAAGGTTGAAACATAATTGATCAAGGTTTCAAGCTTTGACTCATTAAGGTTCTAGATTTTGTTAAATTGATCTAATTAAAAGCCACATTAAGAACAACTTATTTTCGACCTATGTTGATTTTGTGGCACGTTAGATCTAGAAGTGAAAGAAACAAAAATGAGAATATCTGCTAAAGTAACACAAACATTTTTAAGAATCTAATGTTCCAAAAACCTAAGACTTCATCCACGAGGTTCTTCCGTAAAAGGTGAGTCCTAGCATAACCTAGATTAGAAAATCACTGTAAAATGTAGAGAGTAGAAAGATATCGTACTTGAGATGGATATGAGAGATAAGAGAACAAATGAGTTTATATGGAGTAAGAGGCTACCAAAGAGAGTTTTGATGAAAGAATATGCTATGGTGAAGATAGAGGAGTCGAGAGAGGGTGAGGATGAAGAGGAGACAAGTTGTAATACTTAGGGGTCCGGAAAAGAAATGAGTGATTAGATATGAATGGACACCTCTAAATCATTACTATTTTAACAACACAAAAGGAGGTAACCTTGATTTTTAACATTAATTTCAACTACGAGGTATTCATGTGATTTGTCAAATGTTTGGGGGATTCTCATAAAACACCGTCTGGTCCATCCGTACATGGTCAAATTTTAAATTAAAAAAGTTTGAATATTCCACGGGTCTGTCCTGATAGACACGACCGAAACAAAACGAAAACACACACACAGATTGAGACGAAGGAGGAGGAGGAGGAGAAGAAGAAGAGAGAGAGTGAAGACCATCATGCATCTGATCAATGCGGTCGCCGTCGTTCGAATGGCTGCGAGGAACACGGGGATAGAATTGCAATCGGAAATAGAGTTTGGAACGGTGTGGTGGTATGTATACGCTGGAATCTCATGCTTTCTCGTCCTATTCGCCGGTATTATGTCAGGCCTCACTTTGGGGTTGATGTCTTTGGGCCTTGTCGATCTTGAAATCCTCCAGCGCAGTGGCACTCCCGCCGAGAAAAAACAAGCAGGTCAGTCTCTTTTTCGCCCGAGTTCAATGAATATTGATGGTTATGTGAATAATTGAATGCATGAAATGTAGGGTTTTTAACTAGATTGATTAGTTATGGGTACTGTTTTACAAACTATAGACAACAGAATAGAATGGCAAGTGGGTTTTTTGTGTTTGGTTTGTGTATTGAAATCTTCATAATACAGAACTAGTGACTCCAACTCTTAGTTGATTATGCGAGTCATGACCGGATATTCCATTTTCAAAACAAATTGTAGGAAATGATTTGTGGGAGAGAACGTGTATGTGTGTACTAAATTAAGTTTGAATTGACTCCAGAAATTGAAAATTTGCCTGAATTGAAAACGTAGGTAATTCTCGAATTATCATAATTACAACTAATATAATGCATTTTACATGTAATTATCTTGCATTTTGGGAATATTACATCAGGGGTTTGCAAATGAAATTGAATAAAGACTAGTTCATATAATTTCCTTTGGAAAGGCCTGATTCAATGCTACCAAATGCAGCATTAACAATCTTGAACTAGTTTGCCTTGTGTAATTAGGAGAATCTGAAGTTGATTTTTATTTTATTTTTGCTAGATAAATTGCATTGAGAGGAGTGACGATGTATGTTGTGAAGTTTGCTGTATCGCTTGTTTCAGTGTGAGTTATTTTGTTTTAACCAAGGAACAAATTTTGTGATTGACTTTTTGGAATAGGTTCGTGTATATAGTAATTAATTTTCTAAGTATAAGGCTCAAGCTAATAGACGCTGGTTAGCAAAAACAATGCAGGAGGCAAAATTGCCAATTGCATAAAGAGAATGGAGTATTGGATTTAGAATTTTTGATTCATTGGAGAAGTTTATGTCAAATAACAGATCTTTTTGTATGAGTTGAAGGTGCTAGGGCAAAGATCAGAAAAGTCATCTCTTTAGTTGACTTGTTTCCTTTTTTAAAAAAAATTTAAAGAAAATCTAACAAGCACTGTTGCCTCTGTTGTAGACTTGTAAGTGTAATGTTTCTTGAAGATGAACATGTATTATCCTCTATTGTCATATAGGGTTGGTTTTGATGTCCTGGTTTTATTTTCAGCTGCCATCTTTCCAGTTGTTCAGAAGCAACACCAGCTTCTTGTGACTTTGCTTCTATGTAATGCTGCCGCCATGGAGGTAACTGATTGGAATTTCTGTTAAGGGACTGGTATAATTTGTTTGCAATTTGTCGAATTGTGTTATATACAGGATGTCTCTTCTATTCTCTTAGAATGGATACACTTCCAACATATGTGTCCTGCTGCTCACTGAAAAGCATATGCACTCAAAAAATAAATAAACTATAAAAGAAGTGTAATAAACAGAAGTAGATGTACAATAGATGAGGTCCAGTGAACTGAAGGTATTAAATTGACTCTGTGATTATAGGTTAATATTATATTAACATGTGTAAATAGATTAATGCATCCATATGGTTAACTTTGTGCAACATAACTTGTCATGTATGCATATAACCACAGGTAATAACCATAATATGCACATCGCAATATATGAATTTTGAACAATATCGAACTAAGGAAAATATTTTATATGACCCTCCTCGTGCATTGTTCTACCCTTTTCATCATGTACCTCTTATAAAAATTGAGTGTATGACGTACTTAATTGCACTACAATATGGAATATGGAACTGATCTAAAGAGGGAAAGGAAGGATGGCTAAAGGAAGAAAAAAGGCATTCACCACGTAATTTTTGTGTTGCTGAAAGCATTGGAAACAATGCTGTTCTTATACTTTTGATGAATGATCTTAAATGGGTTGTGGAGATATTTACTTACGGCTATCTCTATTCAATTGTTTGATGGAGATTGTTAGTCATATGAACTTCTAATGTCATAAGCAGATTTAGTTCACTTATAGCCTCTGTTTGATACTTGCGATCTGCAGGCCCTGCCTATTTATCTGGATAAGATTTTCAATCAGGTTGTTGCCATCTTGCTCTCTGTAACATTCGTTCTATTTTTTGGAGAGGTATATTGCTTGAAAAAACTATTATTAGGCTTTAAGTTTTATTGTACCCCATTTCGTTCGACTTTGATGGATTTTGATCTATTAATTGTTTGCCTCTTTTCAGGTCATTCCCCAAGCAATATGTACTAGATTTGGACTGGCTGTAGGTGCAAATTTCGTTTGGCTCGTGCGTATTTTGATGATTGTTTGCTATCCAATTGCCTATCCTATTGGAAAGGTAATGCCTATGCCACATGATGAAAAATGCTTAATTTATGAGTCAGAATTCACAGGTTTTCCGCTCCAATTTAATGCCGTTTTTGAAAACAGGGAAAAGGTTTAAAAGGGAAAATATATTTAGCTTTCATGTGATTACTTAAAATAAAGTGGCTAAATATATTGTTTGACATTGTGTGACTCTACCCACTCCCAACCACCACACCCAACCCCCAAGACCTGACCACAGATCTCTCCCTCCCAACCCACTCCTACTGCCACCAAAAAGGGGAAAAAAGACATGTTATGTTGGACGCTCACAAATAGATTGACTGGGGCGTCACATGGTAGATGGTCACCTTAAGAGCAGATGTCACGCACATTCAAGGCCATCATGGCTGGAAACCTGCCTGAAGTACAATTTCACAGGGAAATGCCTGAAATACCCTTCTAGAAAGCCATGTCATGCCACACTGGTGCTTGACACTCGCCCAGTTTGAAGTGTTGTCTTACCCCTTGTTGGTAATACAGCCTGATGACCTTTGGTTTGGTGTCCGTGTCATAGCTTAGATGGATTTCTATTGTCTAGCTGAGTAAATTGGTGGGATGCTGGATGGAGATGCTCTGTTGTCTCAACTACATGTGCATGCTTTGCAGAAATTACACTGCAGTGACATGAGCTTGCCATGCAATAGTGGACACGCCTCCTGGCCTTGTGTGAACATCTAAACAAGGTTGATATGGATCAATGTCAATAGAAGAATCTATAGAACTGGAGACGAATCATGCATTGAGATTGTATAACTAAAGATGGACGATGGATTCATGAAAAAATAGAAGGGGATACTATTGAAGGACAAAGTGAGAGTTAGGTTCGGTATTTGGGTTGTGCGGCACCAGAAGAATAAGAGAACCTGGGAATAGTATGATCAACGCTCCAAGAAAAGTCATGGAGCCTACAAATTAGCCCTATAGACACGGATTTAGGTAGAGGAAAATGACAAAATGTGATTTGCACAAGCAGCCACCATACTACATTACCTTATGCATTGTGGGGTAAGTATCTGCTAGTTTTGACATCTATATATTTCGGGTGCTTGGATTAGTTTATTTTCAATGATTCTCCGCTGTATGCTCTTTAATTCATATTGTCTATTTAAGGTGCAAAAACTAATGCAGAATTTGAATCTAGGTGAAATATTATTTCTACAATACCTCGAATGTGAGTCCTATGTAATTGTGCATAAAAAGAAAGACAATGGTCAAAGGAGAAGGGCTATAGCAGCTACTACTTGATTTGGGTTGATTTGAGGAAAATGAACTTTTACAAATTGAATCTCATCACCCAATTTCTCTTCCTTCAGCTTGATGGGCACCCAAAAGTATAAACATAACAAAAATTCCTTTTTCCTGATAATCTCAATTTGTGCTCTTTTTGCTGAAATCATGAGTCTCTGCTGCTCTATTATGATAGATTGTTATTTGTCTACAGTATTGGTTTAGTTGCGCTGTTTTTTGATTCCAGATTCTTGACTGGGTATTGGGACATAATGAAGCACTATTTAGACGAGCTCAGTTGAAAGCCCTTGTCTCCATCCACGGCCAGGAGGTATGCTAGACATGGAATTCGGATGAATAACAATACAGCAATCCTCAAAAGTCGATACTATTGAGTAGTGGGAGACAGTTTGAAACAATAAAATAACATTCCCAAGTTTACTTGACTTTTTAGATACACCATAAAATGTAATTGTTTTCCCTATGTAGGCTGGCAAGGGAGGTGAACTCACTCATGATGAGACGACAATTATAAGTGGAGCCCTAGATTTGACTGAGAAGGTGCACACTACTCTGATACTGTTATTTGTTAAATTTTATTCATCGAATGTTTGCTTCGTGTTCACAGCACTGTTCAAAATTATTCCCATTATATTTTCTGCAAACTAAGAATGAGGAATTGCACCAGAAATTGCGAAACATGTTTTGTGTTGATGACAATATGCAAATACTAGTCCAAAATTTTTTATGTTCAAGGAGTCTATAGTTACTTACACGTGAGTATAAATTTCAAGAATTTATTGTTCCCCCACCCCCTCCCTCCCTCTTTTGGAGTTACATATTTTACTTGGGTCTGAACACAAAGCTCTCCAAACTACTGATTTCCAGCCAAAGTGATAAGCTGAATGTACAGAATATGTTGATTGATCCTTTTGTTCTCCCTAATTGGATGATATTTCTTTAACTTTTGCCAGTTTCTTCCAATCTAATAAAGATTTTGGCCACACCAATTTCAGCCTCATTTTTTTCCTGTCAAAATTTATTAATACAATTAAGCACCAAGTATTTCCAATGTTTTCTACCAATATGGAAGGGCTAAACCTTGATTTTTCCCTTTTTTCTGCTAAACAACATTTTAAGTTGCTTAATGCTGCAGAATTGATTCCAACCAGACCATATTCCATGCTTGACTTTTTTTTTCCTTACCATGCTTGCTCCTAAATCCTAAATTTTTTTAGGCAAGTGACCCAATTGCAATGAGTTTCTTAAACTCCTCTTGTATTTCTTTCTTGAAAACAGACAGCTGAGGAGGCTATGACACCAATTGAGTCAACATTTTCCTTGGATGTCAATTCCAAATTGGACTGGTTAGTGTTGCTCCTGTATTCAATTGAGATTGTGACTTTAACTCTGATAAAATGAAGCTGTCTTTCGTGACAACCTTTAGCGGGTTAAATTTTAAAAGTTGTACGCATTATAATTTCACAAGCTTGCTATTCTGGAAAGCTGTATGTTGCTGTTAGCTCTTACGGTATTATTATCGTCTGACATTGCGGTCAGTGATAGAGTGGATAAGCCACATATATTGCATAGCCAAGCGCTAAGCAATATGTATAGCTTTGCCAAAACCAACATAAACTTGAACTTGGGAACTTGGAGTGGTGAATGTTCCTTGCCCTATTGGCGAAGGTGAAATGTAAATAAACGTTTCAACTTTCAATCATCCCCATATAGTTCTTCCCTTTGAGTCATAACTCAGGCTGGGCAAAATCTTTTTCCTTATTTCACATGGGCAGTGGTTATGTAACAGACAGGGTTGTACAGAACTTAGATTTCAGATTAGTCAATTGCATTAAATCTGGGATAGGATTTGATCATAGTATTGATTAGTTGTCTGTATGAGTGGTTTTATATTTGTAATAGCGCTATTTAACTTTTAAGTTTTCACTGCTTGGTAATTCTGTGAAGCCATTTAAACTACTTTCACTAAAACAAGGATAGAGCATGCACTGAAGCACTATTGTCCATATGATAGCTGTATATATAAATCATTTGTCATGTGTCCGTCTGATGATGATCTGCAGTTCAGCTGACCAAAATAAGACCCTTGCACTATAAGCATCTTTATACACCTTGTTTCTTAATTCTTAAAAATTGTAATGGACATATGTCAACTGCTTTGACTCTTCTGGTTGTCATCCAAAATTTCAAGAGATAGAAGAAAGAAGCTTGGTCTTATTTGTTAAGTTCAATACTAGAATGCATCAAAATTGTAGTATTCACTTGTAAATGTGCACTTGCGTATTCTTATAAGCATTCTGTATTTTTTTTTTTTTTGGTTTGGTTTGGTTTGTATCTTGTGCAATATGTTTGCACATTATCTAGTTCTATTTGTGTGGTGGTTTTGGGCAAAGCTATCATGCCTATTTGTGACAATACTTTTGGATCTCCAATCACTACGACTGATGCATTCATATCCAAATAAGTCCCATTCTTAGTAGGAGTAAATTATAGAATAAAGACATATCTTGCATTGATGTTTCATCACTTTTTGTCACTTGCTTTACCTACTTAATGTTATAGGGAGGCAATGGGGAAAATTCTTGCTCGGGGTCATAGCCGAGTTCCTGTGTATGCCGGAAATCCAAAGAACATTATTGGACTTTTGCTGGTGGGTTTTAGAGCCTAAAATTTTCAGTATGTTTTATGAGTTCAGTGTTCTTATGTGTTATACTATTCTCTACCTTTTTGGTCTGCATAAAATTAGGTAAAAAGTCTACTTACTGTACGAGCAGAAACGGAGACCCCTGTCAGTGCTATTTCTATCCGGAGAATTCCACGGTGTGTTTATGGAGTCGTTTACAAGCTTATGTTTGCTTTCCAGAACTTAAAGACAAAATATGAAATAGTTATTGTGGAAAATCTATCCAGGGTTCCTGCAGATATGCCTCTGTATGACATATTGAATGAATTTCAAAAGGGTAGCAGTCATATGGCAGCTGTGGTGAAGGCTAAAGGCAAAAGTAAGCCCCCTCCATCAGTTGTTGATGAAGAAAAACCTGAAGAGAACAAAGTCAGTAGTGGGGATTCTCAGCTAACTACTCCTTTGTTATCCAAGCCGAGTGAGAAGCCAGAAACCATTGTCGTTGATATTGAGAGGGCTCCAAGGCCTGTCAGCCTGAGCAGACAAACCTCTTCTCAACAAAATGATGCAGTGACAATTCTTTTGTCAGAGGAGATTGAAGATGGTGAAGTGATTGGTATCATCACCTTAGAAGATGTATTTGAAGAACTTCTACAGGTGATTGTCATTGCTTTTATTTCTTCACCTTATTAATAGGTTGCTCAACAACATTCAACAGTAAAACCATTTGCTGATGATTTGTCTTCAACAATACAGGAGGAGATTGTAGATGAGACAGATGAATTTGTTGATGTACATAGAAGGTACTTGAACTATAGAGAATCAGTTGCATTGAAGTGTAGAAATTTGTTAAGACGGAAGAAAAATATTGAGAAATGCTTCCCATTTTGCAGGATACGTGTGGTTGCAGCAGCAGCTGCTTCGTCGGTGGCACGTGCTCCATCAGTACGGAGGTTAACTGGCCACAAGGGAGCTGTAAGTGAACATTATGCATCCTCGATACCTATAGCTTGTCTTGTTATTGAACTTTTAGAGCTGAGAACAGGAATTCCTTCCATGCCTGACTTTTTCTTCATTCGTATGGATATCATCTGGATCTGTAAAACTTACAATTCTATGCAGCAGGGTGCCTCTGAGGCTTCATTTAATGAACAAGTGAAAGTTGATAATATTTGAAATCCCCACATCCCACTACCAACAAATTAATCTAACGCCTCATCCATATGCTATTGCACATAACAAGAGCCAACCCCCCCCCCCCCCTCTTTTTTTTCTCTTCTCAGCCCAAGAAAAAGTGAAAATGGCTTAACCAGAACATTGGAAGCATAAATGGTGATATCATACTGTTCTACATTTAGTGTTGAAATGTGTCGGTCATTTGTCTTTTTTCTTTTGTTTCCCTTTTAATTCCAAAAGAACATACATGGTAAATGCATTGACATGAACCCTAATGTATAGATTTTAGTTGTAGGCTAGTGTGTTCTCTGTAAATGCTAATGGTTGTCTCAACCTTTTCTTGTTGAATATCTCAGGGAGGCCAGAGTAAGCATGGGCAGAGCCCCAAATAAATCTGGTGAGGATGATTCTCCTTCAACAAGGTTACATGGAAAATCTTGATGATCCCCAGAAGGGGAACAAGAGATAATCATATCCCGACTCGCGAAATCCGATGCTTTTGAGAGTGGTATTGTATTTTTGGCCAAGAGAAGAATAAAATCCTGTGCAATATGGTGTAATAATTTTTGTTTTTGGCAGATAACTATTATATATTTGTCTGTCAAATAATCAAATAGAGGTATCGAAAACTTAATTTTTTATGATTGTTACGCATATTTCGCGTTACAGTACATTTTTTACTTTAAATTTTTTTGAGTTGATCAAATTTTAGTGGTTTGGCAAAAAAGAAAAAAAAAATAAAAAATGGTGCCATAGCTATTGGGTTTCTGCTATATTTCTGGTGTTCTGTGATGTCTTGTTTAACCTGCAAGACAAGGGCACCTAGATGTGGGAGGGTTCACCATTTTTTAAGGTGATTTATCATATTTTTTACAACTGTTGTGATAATTATTTTTATCACGTTTTTCAGTACCACAACAATGGTAAAAATACTCACAATAATAATAAAAATACTCATAAATATGATAAATATTAATAGGATATCGATTTTATTTTTTTGGTAGCGTAGACAACTCCCCTAATTTTTTTTTTTTTTTTGTCTAATTGTGTCTTTTTCTCAACTTTACTTAGAAGTGAAGGTATACTTTTTTTTTTTTTTGTTTCTTTCACATGTGGAGTTACTAATATTTTATGTTTGGTCTTTACCAAAGAGACAATACTTCCATTAAAAAAACCAATATGGTATGAAAAGAGTATATATGACCCTCATGTATCAATCTTTATTTTTATTTCAATGTAATTGGTTGTATAAGCTTTAAATCGTATATATTAATTTTAATTTTTTTATTTTTTAAATATATTTGAACTTACACCAGATAGTCTCTCACTCTCTTCAACTTCTTCAAAAACCAACTACTACCTCAGTCCTGTTCAGACTCTCCATTGCGCTTGCCTACCTTTTATCATCAAGTATTAGATTTTCATAACAGTGTATTATTTAATAAAAATGCATTAATTATATCAAATTAAATAATTTCATGTGACTTGCGTGGCTATTCTCATAAAACTATTTTAAATTTAATTTTTTTTATCCCACTTAATTTATCATCCTGCTTTTCATTTTTTTTTTTTTTTGACAAACAAAAATGTATTAAAAGTATTTATAATGTGTTAATTTATAAATATGGCAGCATGTTAATTATCATGGAGTACACAAAAACAAATTTAAAATAGAAATGAAATAATATGATGCTAAATTAAGGATGAGAGATTAGCACTTAGCCTTCTGACCACTATTTTTGTTTGTTGGATGCTAATGTTGTGAGTTGGTCTCTCTCCTGTCAAAAAATATAAAAAATAAATATAAAATTTTAAAAATAATAAAGATATATTTTTCTTTTAAAATTTTGATTATCATATTTTGATGAATTTTTTTTTTTTTTTATCAATAAAATGGGGAGAGGGGCGAACAATAGGCAGTGGCTCATTTTAGTCGTGATTACGGGGGTTTATCCCGATGTAGAATATTAGGTTAGTCATAGTTACATGTTCTTTTGGAGTAGTTTGCCACCACACTATCACCGAAACTTAAGTAATAAGATATGAGTATCTCATAAATCGAACTCTATTTAATAATTATTTAAGAGTAAAGACGATTTTGAAATGGATATGTTTTAGGGCTGTCAATTTTTAACATGATACAAATCGAATACGAAATTAATGGGTCGGACACGAAATTAAAACGAGTTAATGGATTAAAATAGGTCAACATGGTTAAACACAAAAAAAATCATGTCGGGTTTATGTCAAAATCTGGTCAACCCGATTTTAACTTGATTAACCTATATATTTTAAACGGGTTGACATAATTCGAATACAAACCTGACCTAACCCATTGTAAATTGTTTATGACAATATAATTTATATATTATATATGATTGATATGGTGTTAACATTATTACTATTAGTTATTGATCTATTATGATAATTGACAGAATAATTTTTAACATTATTATGATAAATATACTAGTATAGTTATTACTTTAATTTTTGGATTGAAACTTAAATGAATTTTAGTTAATTTTTGAGGAGATGCGATATGTTATTTATAAAAAAATTATTTAAAATTTTGAATGAATGATTGAATGATGTATTAAATGGTAATAAACTGGTGTAGAAACAAGTTATGTTATCAATGCTAAATAAGTTAAATAAATCATATTATGTGTGTTAATTAGAAAATGACTAGTTTATTAAATATGCCGGGTTCGAATAATCTATTTAATGGTTATATCAGATTAATATTTACACATCTCAAAACACGATTATTAAACATATCAATTTTGAGTTATGAAATATTTGACACAAATTTAAAATTAACCCGATACAAAATGATGCAGTTCGACCCGATTAATACGCCTAATATGTCTTCTCGCTAGACGACCAAATCCAATAGTTATATTTTGATGGGTCAAAAGCAAACATTATCCAATGGCATATGAGTCTTACCCGCAGGCAACTATGGCCTTCTGAACTGTTGACTTTGAAAATCACAGCACTGTAAACCATAAGCCCAACCTCCTACGTTAATTTCAAAACACCCCACCTCGATTCATTCAGATAGAGAGAGAGAGAGAGAGAGAGAGAGAGGGAGAAGAGAGAGATGTCTTGCTGTGCTTCATGCTGTGCTTCTCTGACGTGCGGTCTCTGCTCATCGGTGGCCTCTGGGATCTCAAAACGCTCTGCTAGACTTGCTTATTGTGGTCTATTTGGCATCTCTTTGATCGTTTCTTGGATTCTCAGAGAAGTCGGAGCTCCTCTCTTGAAGAAAGCCCCATGTTAGTACACTTCACAGTCCTTCATACCCCCTTTTTCATTTTCTTCACGAATTCTCAATTGGGTATTATCCATTTATTCATTATACGTGTATATTAACGTATAAGAATCATATATTTATTGGTTGATTGATAGAGTTGGGTTCTTTCGAGACTTCATGATGTTCTTTGATTTGGGTTTGTTTCCCTTGTTTTCTGTTTGGCTTTCAAATCTTGTATTATGATGATTTGGATTCGGGTGGAAGAAAATTTTGAGCTTCTTTCCAATTCCTACCCACTTAATTTCCTCATAATGGTTTGCAGGGATAAACGATTCAGATACTCACACAGAGGAATGGTATAAAATGGAAGCAGTTCTTCGTGTCAGCTTTGGGAATTTCTTGTTTTTCGCAGTACTTGCCCTCTTAATGATTGGCGTGAAGGATCAAAATGACCAACGCGATTCCTGGCACCATGGTGGATGGATTGCTAAGATTTTGATTTGGGTTTTGCTTGTCGTCCTCATGTTTTTCCTCCCAAATGTCATCATTGATATTTATGGTAAGCTTTACTGCTAAACCTTGAAATTCGTTTTGAAACAGCTCAAATTAAACCATGAAACAAGTAGCTGGAAAATTAAAATTGGAACTGGCGCAATTCGTAGAAGTAGAAGCTTAGATACTTTTTTCATTTATACTGCTCAGTGGACAAGCATTGCCAGTTCACATTATATGAGTTTCCAGCTATGATTTCATTTTTAGGGTGTTGGTGATTTTGGAGAGAGGAACACCAGATTCTGGTTCCCAATAATTTTGGTCACTGCATATGAGAAAATTTGTTTCAGAGGTGTATCACTAACAACATCTCTTATTGGTATCCGCAGCACGCCCGAGGCCTATGATGGGGTTTTAGAATACTCCATTCTCCATGTCCACCCAGGGGTTTTTGATGAGCCAAATTTCATCTGAAGATGACTTAAGAAAATTTGTCCTTACAACCAAATAGTTTAGGATAATCATTTGTCCAAATAGTTGTTTTAAATTTTTTCTCCTCTTTTCTACATAGTCATGGTGATGCTGGGAGGGAAGGGAAAGAATGGAGACAGCTAATCCTCACAAGGATTAGATCAAGAAACACAAATTTCCACAGAAAGTTCTCAAACTAATATGCAACTCTGATTTAAATGATATGAAATACATCTTTATTTATAGGCCAAGTGTCCTACTAAAAAGAACTATTCTCCTACTAAAACTCTATCAACTTATCCCTACTAATCTCAATTTAATAAATACTATATAACTAAAAATTGAAATAATAAATAACAAATGGCTACACCATCACATGGAATGGCCTACTAGCAGTGAGTATTGTAACTGTGTAATCTTTTTTTTTACCCATCTGATTATAAGGATGTCTTTGATTAAAATTTGAGTGATGGGGTCGAACATTTGGACATGATGCCCATCCTTAATTCTGACCTCTTCAGTTCCTCTAAGTACATGTGTAACATATCTGCTTGTTATTTGGACATAAAATTCGTAGATTGACTGTTGCAAACTCACTCTATTTGCAGGAACTCTATCAAAATTTGGAGCAGGGTTGTTTTTATTGGTTCAAGTTCTTATATTATTAGATGCTACACATTCATGGAATGATGCATGGGTTGCTAAAGATGAACAGAAGTGGTTGGTTCAAGTTGTAGGCTCTTACCATTTACTTGACTTAGATTTTGTCCTATTTCTAATCTTTTGATGGGTGTTTTCAGGTACATTGCTTTACTTGCTGTATCAGTAACTTGCTATCTTGCTGCATTTATAGGCTCGGGGATTCTGTTTATCTGGTTCAATCCTTCTGGCCATGACTGTGGTCTTAACATCTTTTTCATTGTCATGACCATGGTTCTTGCATTTGCATTTGGGATTATCGCATTGCATCCGCAGGTAACGAAAGTATCTTTTCTATTGATGCCTGGTACCTTGACATTTTAGGGATTGTTGACACCTTTCTGATTAGTTACTGTATGTTGTGCAAGTTGCCACAGTCCCATTGCGGTGCTGATGCTTTTCATGGAATTTTTTTCTTAATAAATCATGGTTACTTGGAGAGTTCAAATGATGAAAAGACCTGAACTAATCTTTCACATAAAATATGACAAGGATCTAAGATGGCTGTAAACTGATCACAATCACATTGCTATGTCTCATGGGAGGACTCAAAAGTGTGCTTTTTTTTCAATGGTGACTATTTTATCTCTTTTCGAGGAGATAATGTTCATGATATATATACAAGGTACAACTAAGCCCATATGTAAAAGGTTCAAGGAACTAAATATCTTCTGGAAACATCCAAAACGTTTTTATTTCCATCGAAACTAAAATGAATTAGTGATTGAATATCAAAGTTCTTATGTTTTGAGTCGTTTTTTCGGTGTGTTTTAATCAATCTTTTGAAATATTTCGCAAACAAATGTCCAATTTTCCCTTTGTTTTCATCATGTTTTCAAATTATTTCTACGTCGGAATAGATGTAGCACAAAACTATGAACATTCGTATGATGCTCAACTGTATTTTTATTATGAGACCTTAATATCTTGTGTGTTTGTTTGATGAAAATGTAGTGTTTGACATTACTTAAAATGACTTATGCCTTATATTAACCTATTTTTCGTATCCAACTTGATATTATTGAGTATAAATGAATGTTGAGAAAATAAACGTGCTCATTTATTCAATTTTTAAGCTTATCTATGTAAATAAAGAGATTTTAATTTATGTTTCTACATGTTTTCAAAATTTTTTCTTTTTTCCACTGCGTCTCCAAAAATTATACAGTGAGACGCATTTTTTATCCTTGAAAAGTTTAATGGTGAAAGCTTACCATCCCACCCTCACGAGGAAAATGGTTGTGTCTAACTTTAACCCAGATCCAATTGTCCTTACCAATTTCCTATACGAACTCGAAGGGGGTCAATTTCATTATTGCATGCATTTTATAAAACTCTAGGTCTTCCTCACCAAGTAACATCATCCGGTCCTTCTTATTCCTATGTCTCTGGAGACCTGCTAAAATAATCTCTGTTCATGTCTGTGGATCTTAGTAGCATCTCTAATCTCCTTAATTATTAACATCCTTGGACCACTATACATAGAGTGAGTGTTTTGTTAATGACTCAACAGGTTTCTGTTTATCAAATAATAACCAATAATAAATGCCTTCTTGAAACCACAAATGCCATAAGTGAAGCAAAGCACATGATAATCCTTTCTTCTATTGCCATTCATCTACTTAAAAGCCAGAGTCTGGTTCATAAATACAGGGGACAGAGTTTAAATGTGAATTTAATTAGTATCCAGCAGTTGGGTTATTCTCAGGTTCTTGTAGAGGTGGAGCAGTGCAACTGTTTAAACCTTATGTCGATTGGCAACAGTAGAGGGAGGTGCTCTTCTCTGAGAGAGTTGCCAATTGTTTTTTGATTTTTTTTAAAGTATAGAACTTGATATGTAACTGGGACGCAGCAATTCTACAACCTACTAATTAAATGTAAGTTTTGCTCAAAAAGCTAGGGGAGAATTGCTATCTTCTTCCAACAGACTGGATGCTTCTATATTGGATAGCTTAGAGCCTTAGACATTAGCAATGTGAAAATTTGTTGAGAACTTTGCCTGGACAATGCTTACCATATGGTTGAGAACTTTGCCTGGACAATGCTTACCATATGATTGATTCCTGGATGTCAAAATGTTTGGAAAGACACTATTAGGGGCCGTTGATTGGTGTAATGGACAAAACTCGGGCTGTCAAGTGTGAGATCATCACGATTTTGAATCTGACGACCACCACTTGGAAGACTGAGTTTGACCAGGGAAGCTGATTCCTGTATTGTTGTGGATAGTCTTTTTAGAGGTATTGTAATCAAGTTGGAAAAGGAGAAAATGAAGGACATACGAGAGTTTAGAGTTGGGTCCTGAGCGTGCTGATACTCAAATGACTAGGAAGTGTTAAGTATCCCTGTATACTGCCATTCGGCGAATTTTCAGCTAGTGTTTTCTATATGTTACATTTTGTTATATTTGCTGCTTCTTAGGGGTTCCTTCTTGTTACTTGGTTTGCTTTATTGTAGCTTGTGTGTCATGCAGTTCTGGATGTCAAAAAAATTGCTATTAAGACTTGCAATATAACAACTAATTTCATGAAATTTTAGAGAAGGGAGTATTCATAGTTCAGTGTTCCTCCTCTTACTAAACACTGGTGAAATGACTGTTGATTCGACAAGACTTGAAAAGTTCAGATCTGGAAAGAGCCACATTCATTTTGCTTTCTTATATTACATAAAAAAAGAATATTTTTTGTGAACAGGTAAACGGTAGTCTGTTGCCTGCTGCTGTGATATCTGCTTACTGTGCATATGTGTGTTACACCGGTCTCTCCAGTGAACCTCGGGATTATGAGTGCAATGGTCTCCACAACAAATCCGTAGCAGTCTCCACTGGTACCCTTGTTCTGGGAATGCTCACAACGGTTCTCTCAGTTCTCTATTCTGCTCTTCGTGCTGGATCCTCAACGACCTTCCTATCTCCACCATCTTCTCCTAAGTCAGGTATGTAAAACTATGTAAAACCCTATTTTTAAACTCTTCGCAATTTGTTCACTTAACTACAGTTTGAGATTTGCCATATCCAATACTACTTCCTGAAACAAGCCAAGTTGTTGCTTTTTGTCTCCAAAGAGATATGAACACTCAGAAGTTACTCATTTTATTGTAAACGAAGATGCCAAGGCACTACATGGTCGAATCATGAATGGCAATCATTGCATAGAAACTGTATTTACCGTCCTACTTTAGCATATTGCCTCCATATTTAGTTGTGGTTATTCCGGGTTTAGTCCAATGACTAGCATGTAGAACCCTAATGCAGGTGAGTTTCAACTGGCAGCTGTATTGGATATTTTATGAATTCATTGTTGGATCTCAACTGCATTTATGTTCTGCATGGTATTTATACTATAGTGGCCAGAGTGAATACCTAATAGACACGTTGGATCTCGACTGCATTTGTATTCTACCTAACAGCTACCCCGAAGGTGCCTAGATGGTTGGCAATGCTGAAGTTCAGGCAACCGACTCTAATTCATAGATAAGCTAACCGACTATGGGCTTAAATGAATTATTGACACACTAAGCCCTTATTTTATTTGAGAACCAACTCCCTTTAACAAAATTTTATGTTTCGTGGACATCCTCTTGGCTGCTTTTCTTTTAAAAAGAACTTTTTACTAAGATCCTAGAGTACTTGTCCCTTCATCGATTCTGCAAATCCAATATATTTAAAGATTGTATAATTTTGCTGGAAATTTCCTGGGAAAGTTAATAATGATTCTAAGGGTTGCTCTGTGATGTTGTCAGTTTGTTGGATATGAAGCTCCTAGGCATGATGATAAAATCTTCTTATACAGGTCAAAAGAAACCTCTTCTTGACTCAAAAGACGTTGAAGGAGGTAAAGAAAAGAAAGAAACGGTGGCTGAGGCCCGGCCAGTTAGTTACTCCTACACATTCTTCCATCTCATATTTGCGCTGGCTAGCATGTACTCAGCCATGCTTCTTTCGGGGTGGACCAGCAGTTCCGAGAGCTCCGACCTGATAGATGTTGGCTGGACATCAGTTTGGGTTCGCATTGGCTCCGAGTGGATCACTGCTGGATTATATGTCTGGTCCCTTTTAGCTCCTTTATTCTTCCCTGATCGCGAATTCTTCTAAATCATAGATATGGAGGTTCCCATGAGCTGTTAAACTTCTAATGTTGTTTAAAGATATATGCAGCAAGTTTGTGTAACATCCTTCTGTATGTTATTTGGGTGTAATGTACATATAAAATAGATTCCCTACTGTAACTAATCACCTTCTACTACTTGTTTCTTTGTTTGATGTCTGCCAGAAACAGTTCCACATCCGGATACACTAGTTCACCACACCAGTTGTTCTGCTGCTAGGATTATGAATGTTCTTGCAACCTCCACCTGTTTGAGGCTTGCAACGAGCCATCCCCCCCTTCCCCCCTTGGTTATTCTGGAAATGTTGTCATCATGGTCCGAACAAAGCTCGTGAACTTACGGGCTCCTAACGTTAGGTAGAATTAAAGAATTAGTGCACTTTACGTGCATGGCGTGGGGTTTTTGCGTACACTTGGAATTGAGTGGATGAATTAAGGAATTTTTGCACATTGGGGGGTGCTAATGTAATTATCAATTTCTTTTGAGATGCTTAAATGGGGGGCTTAAGCCATATTAGCCTTGAGCGGACCTCCAGTTTACCAAATCAGAGTTCAATCCCAAATAAATTTGTTTCTTTCACATTGCTTATACATTTCCATGTTGGATTTTGTTAAAGGAAACATTTGAACTGAACATACTAGAGATCACATAGGTGGCCATTAGTAGGGGTGTTACTCGAATTAAGCTTATGCTTAAACTCGGTTTAGTTGTCATTTGTTTAGCTAGAACCCAAACCGATTTTAAATTTTTGCACAAAATTTATTCAAACTTACGAGCATTTGAGCCAAAGTCGAGCCAAAATGGAACTCAGCTCCTCAAAATATACTAAACTTAATAATCGATCTTGAAACAATCAAATTATTAAACGAGCTACACGCGGATAAAAGTGAAAGGGGCGACATAGGTTCAAAATTGAATAAATCTTTTAAAATAAATTTTTGAGTAACATACATAAATAATCTCTCATGTATGTATTTTGTGTCAATTTTGTCTATAAGCTTTGAATTATATCAATTTAGTCTCTCAACTTCTTAATTTATACGATTTTGGCCTAATCGGAAACCGACAATTTGAATGGACTAACAGAGATGTTCATGGGTCACTTTGGTCTCTCAAATTTATAATTTGTATCATTTTGGTATTTCAACTTTACAATTTATGTCACTTTAGCATCTAAAGTTTTCAAATAATGCACTTCAAGTGTGATCACGTGAGATGCACGTGGCACAAATTAAAAAGTTGAGGATTAAATTGATACAATTAAAATATTAGGGATCAAAATGACAAATAACATAGTTTGGGGATACAAATGTATTTTACTCTAACTTTTTTTTCAGGTGAAATTTTAAAAAGTAACTAGAATTAGCATTTTTGTCTCACACATGGATGGATGCAAACGTAAGCATCCCCGCCTCCACCATCACGCTAACATGCGCACTTCCCCCCCCTCCAAACTCCACATGTCACCTGAAAACCCTTTCTCACCTGCACCGCGTTCCCACCATCACCTCCACACAACAACTTCTATTTTACTAACATGCGTCATCACCTCCTCTACTCCACCACCGTAACCATGGCTCCCTCTTCTTCACCTTCTCTCTCCAAACCCATCTCCACCAAAAGACCCTCAACCTCAAACCACAACAACTCTTGCCCTAATTCCCCAATTGCTCCTCTATCCTCTGCAAACACTTGACATCAGCCACCCTCGACATCCTCATCCTCATCCTTGTCCTCTTCTCAGGCATCTTCTTGATTTCCTCCTATTTTTCCTACATCTTCCAGTCCCTTTCTCTTCTCTTACCCATCTTTTCTTTTTCCACTTTTTTTACTATTTTCCGCGATGCCCAGTTCGTTTACTACACCTCTTTCTTGCTCTTCTTCACCATCTTTGTGATTTCGTTTGATATGTGTTGTGGGTACAGGTCGAGGAAGTGTGGGAATCGGGGGTGTAGAGGGTTGAAGAAGGCGATGGAGTTCGATTTGCAGATGCAGGGTGAGGATTGTTTGAGATCTGGAGGGAAGGAGGTGAAGGACATTAATGAATTGCCTTGGAAAGGTGGGAGTGAGGCTAATCCTGATTATGAGTGCTTGCGTGCTGAGTTGAGGAAGATGGCGCCGCCTAATGGGCGGGCGGTACTGCTTTTCTGGGCAAAATGCGGGTGCCCAGTTGCTAAGCTTGAAGGGTGGGGACCCAAACGCAGCCGTCGGCACAAGAAGTGAGTTCCCTTTTAATTGATCGATATGGAATTCTGAGTGATCATGATATTGTTATTTGTAATTTGATGCATCTATGGATTGGTTTGACGGAAATTATCGCATCTGTAGCATATTTTCGAGTAAGTTGGAGTTTATGTTTGGATGATTGAAGGAAACTGATGAGACATGGAAATGCCTTTGCCCTTTTACTGTGTATTTTCGGTTACAAGGTTTTATAGAACTGTAGTTAACTGGAATGAATTTTTAATTGTTAGGGACTTCTAGTGAGGTGTTGGGTTTGTGGCAGTTTGATTGAGGATGACCAAGGGCTTTAGTTTTTCTGGTCTATTTGTCTTGATGATTTATTTGAAACTCAGAGATTGCTGCAATCAAATGATAATTTGAAGGCATAGGGCATTGTTCAGTATTGTTGAATGCTTCCTAAGTTATTTGTTAACTTGCTCCATGTTGTAATCAAAGTAGCATTACGTGTTTATCTTGAGAGAACCTTATACAATAAAAGATGCTTTCTGTCACTATCTGAATATTATTGTTACTCTTATGCTGGGAAGAACATTTGGAGCCCGGATAATTGGTCCATTTAGCGATGAATAGGGCGAATTGTGCAAATTAAGCAAGTGGTTGGAGAGGATGCAATAACTAGCAGTTTTTCTTCTTGTCCTTCATATCTTTGTGGTATGCTGCCAGTATTGGGGATAGTGCAATAGTAAAATGCTCGGATTAACAACCTTGTAAGTCTTAATTTGGGGATAACCACTTTGTGTCGGTAAAGCCTAAGCACCCTTGGTAACTAGAGCCATTTATGTAATGAGAATGCAAAGGGATTGTAATTCTTTATTTGAGATCAATCATGGTATCTTTGGGAAGGGATGTTGATCTTCCATCTCGTGGAATGTGTGGTTATGGCAAATTATCTAGGTGGTATGGATGGAAAGGAATATGAGAAGTTTCGATGGAAAGGAAGAGTACGCTGTGTTTTTATGGGATGAAGTGAAATGCTTGGCCTACCTTTGCACAGTGGTATCCAAAGAATTCAAGGATGTGCCATTCTTTTCCCTTAGTATAGATTGGACCGTGACATGTAGTTAGAGGATTATCGTTAATGATTTTAGTTTATCTTACCTTTTCATTTCCTTTTTGTTTTTCTATTGGTGGATTTCTTGTTCACCTTTTGTAATCTTTTCATCTTATTAATGAAATGTTATATTTCTTATCAAAAAAAAAATGAAAAAGAAAAAATGTAATGAGAATGCCAATACTGTGCATCACTCTCAAAAATTTGGTAGCCTTTTTCTATGCAAATGCACTTGATCTTTGGTTGGATTGAGGACTAGTGGTGGACTCTCCACTTCCCTAATATTTCTGAAGTCGGTTATTGTGTTGCGAGTGGCTGCTTTCATCTCATTTTGTGCGGAATTGGCTCTGTTTCATTAGCAACCTTATCGCAATTGTGCAACAAATTGTGCTCCATGTAAACGTGTTAATTTCAAAAGGGAATGTATGTTGGGGGTTGCTTGGGTGGGTAGTTGAGTTGGACAAGTATTGTGAGTGGGTGCCTTGAAACATTACATACTCCTTTGTACTTGGCATTTTAATACTCCACACTCTTGTAATTTTCAACGATGTTGTTTCTTTTGTTGGTTAGATTAAATCTCTTCTTTCTTTTTTGGGCGACAGTTTTCGTGTCCCAATATCTTGTCAACTGTAATATCTCCTGTGGTTCTACTTTGGTGATTGTGTTGTAGCAGTGTAAGGGTACAAGCACTTGCAGGTGAATATGATATTCTTCAGGTGTAACATGTTTGTAGAGGGTTAAAAAATACAGCCATGGGTGGTGAGGTCTTAGACCATAATTTTGCTTATAAAATCTTGCCGATGATTTTGTGATTGGTTATGGTACTAGTGACACGTTGTTTGAGTAGCATATGAGGTGACAAGAGACTCTAGTTTGACAAGGTCAGCTGTTTAAAGTCCTTGTGAATTTAATGATCCTGGATATGTCGTGCCTGTCTTGCACATTATGTCAAGACTCAAGAGGATCATCTATTGTCTGGCTTTTGTAACTGGTCTAGAGTACCATAATTGTTTGGTTTTTCTTAGTGGTGACTATGTTTTTCATGTTTGGTTATCACTTCGTGAGGATGATTATAATTTGCTTACATTCAGTTGTTACTGGACTATAAGAATGCAAAAAGTGGTTTTGGAGTGTTGAAAAATAAAAGGAAGAGAAAATCAATATCATACGGATGTTAGGGTACATCCTGATGGGATTTTAGGGAAGACTAAGAATAATCTTTGATGCAGTGACTGCTTAATGTTGGGTAATCATTGTTTGGTTTCGAAAAGTTGGAAGCTCATAACCTGTCAGTATGAGCACATTATACGTATCATATGGTCCCCCCTCACCCCGAAACTTCAATCCCTAATTCCCTATATGCGCCTGTTACAAGGGAAGTCTAAGAATAATCTTTGATGCAGTTACTGCTTAATGTTGGGTGATCATTGTTTGGTTGCATGACAGTGTTTTTCACTTTGTTCATGATTGACGTAGTCCCCAAATAGTCGCAATAAAGGCTTGTTTAAGTTGTTTATAACTGGCTATTTTTTTATAGTTGGGGAATACTTCAAATGCTAATTTAATTTTGTAGCAGTGGTGCTGACCCCAAATAGTTGGGTTGATTGTTTTGTTAGTTGAGTTGAGTTGGTGCAGATAAGCAATTATGGCTGCTATTCCATTTTTCATCTGAATTAGGAACTTAACAGACACCATAATCAGCTTAATCTGAGGGATGGATTTGGGGTTTAAATACCTTATTTGGTTGTTCACTGAGGGACCTCACTTAAAACACTTGGCTTAATTTGAGGGTCCTTGCTCCTCACTAAATCCGCTTGAAATCCTCCACTGATTGTGACCATTATTCTGATCATATATGCTTGCTGTTGTTATGCTTATTATAGAAAAAGGCACCTTTTGTTTAATATTTTTTTTTATTCTACTTATAAATACTCAGTTTTCAACTGTTTTTGCCTGTTGCATATTTGTGACAGTAACTGAATTCCTAAGCTTCTCCCCATATATTAATGCTCATGTGTGATTTTAAATAAAATATTGTCCTGATGGTACTCTGATGCGTTTTAGACTTTCTAGGAGCAACCAGCGCCAGAACTTAGGATGAAATAGTCAGATGTGTTTAGACTATCATATAAGCAAGACAAAGTCCTAACTAAATCATAACATAAGCTACTATTTCATCTATCATTAAAGTTGATCCGATTCGAACTTATGACCTCGCGGATGGAGAGGGAGGTATTTGAACCCCCTGTATTCTTTATCATTACTTTAGTTTTCATGACTCTTTCAACCGCCCAGACATCCATTCCCTTCGCACTTCGCTTTCCCTATCTATCCCTGATGCCTAAGAATCTTGAATGAAATAGTTAACTTATAAGTCATAACTTGATTACCAGGGGTCAAAGATTAATAGACACACCTTAGAAATGGTGGAACTCCTGACTCAAGCTTAAATTTGTTTATTTGAACTCTTTGTTGACAGTTATGTCAATAGATGCTTTATTGAGATTCTTGTATTTTTCTTTTTAGTTATCTTTTAGGTGCTTCAATTTAGATATAGGAAACTATATTTGTGCACCTTGACAATATGCTGTGATTATAAATAGAAGATGTCTACTATACTCGACAAAGTTTCTATGCTGACAAGTAATTCCTTTGTTCAACTTATTTCGTTTTGTTTGTGATAACTATTAACTTTCATATGTGCTATCTTCCCCAGGACTCTTACTATGAATGGCGGAGGAGATCATCGCTGATCTTTTCTGATGGCACTGCTGTTGGGATCTCATCTCTCTGTCCCTCTTTCTGGCATCTGGTTTATCTTTTAGATTTAAATGTCATCCTTCTTTCACAAAGACTTGCACTCTTGGATGGTACAATCCTTTCAATCCGCTGGTCGAATGGCACCATCTCTTCAAAATTTCATAAAATAACCTTCACTGTACCCACATGATTGGGATAGATTCTCTTTTAATGATAATTATACCTAGTCAAATGCGAATAAATATTTGAATAAGCAGGCGGGCGGTGTTGAAAATTTTAGTTCTGATGTTCAGCTCTTGGTTTTTGTTTAATCTTGTAACTGTTTTAGATTTGGGTTGATAGTGGGTGTGTATGTCAAGGGCCACTAGCTGCTATGGAAGCCACAGATCTGCTTCCCATACCCTGAATGGCAAAGATTGTGGAACTCTGCATCAAGGGTTGGTTCAACTGTGCTATTTTCTTATCGGATGGCTTTATTGGGCATGAGAATGCGTTGTAGTCTAGTCCTTGATAGGGCCGAGAGGAGAAACAGACTCATTTCCAAAATCAATTCATACCTCATTAATATATGGGGGCCGGTACCATTTAACAAAAATATCAGTAAAAAAGTATACATGATATACTCAAAGTCTAAATACCCCTCTATGTAGAAATTGAATAGTTTTCTAAATAAGTGAGGACACCTCCAGAAGGAAAAGAAAAGATAATAGTTATACATAATTTCACCATTATCGTCGGATTGTGTGAACTTCAAACGGAGATGACAAAATTTCTCCATAACCACCCTTCTCTCAAAATCGTCATTTAAAAATCCTTCTTTTTTTTTAGGGTTTCACAGTGAAAAAATCAACATCAAATTATTAATATCACAAAGAGCATCAATCATTGAAGAACAAAATGTGCATTGTGGAGAAGAACGACGGTTAAGATCATTGAAGTTTTTGAAAAAGAAGTTGATAACTCAAGAAAAATATTGTTCTCCCAACATTTTTATTTTATCTATTTTTTTTTCTCAATTACCTTTCTACTTCTGGTGTTTGGTACTACATGTACACCAAATGTTCAATTATTTGCCAAAAAAATTCAAAAAGGTCATATACAACTGCATTCTCATAATAGACCTTACTCGCCGTCACTGCCCTTAAAACCTTCCAACTCTACATACACTAGTTGATCGAGACCACAACAAACACAATTTGCCCTCTTTTGTTTGTTTGTGATACTTTATAATTTTATTTACTTTATATTTAGTTATTCATGATGTGTGTCATACAATTGTTTTGTGTATTGTCTCACTATGATATTTCATTGTACCTTATGTCAGGTCAATGTATACAGTGTAACATTGACTTGTAGTAGTATGACATTGGTTTGTAACAGTTTGAATTTGGTTTGTAACAAATAGCAATGTGACATTGGTTAGTATCAGTGTGACATTGTCGTGCACCACTGTGTCAATGTGACACGTACCACTGTATCAATGCAACATATACCACTGTTACTTATAAACACATCGAATAACATACATATAAATTTAAATTTAAAATATCCATTAAAAAAAACACTCATAACAACCAATAGTATTATATAAGGTGAAAATATATATTCCTCTTTAAGATTTATAAGAAAAAACAAAAAACAACAATATATACAAATGTGGAGAAGACATGAAAGTTTGAATAACTTTAATTGAATGAAAGATGAAGATATTATTTAAAATTCAAAAATGCTATTTCATAAATTAGGATACTGAATCCCTAATATAATTGTCATATTTGTCTCCCATTAATAAAGAAAGATATAATTTAAAATTCAAAAATTTTATTCCATAAATTTAGGATACTGAATTCCTAATATAACTCTTAGATTTGTCTCCCATTAATAAAGGAAAAAAGCAATTTCGTAAAAGAAAAATTTAAAACTCAACAAAAGTATATCTCTTCAACAAATATTTACACACAAAGGTACTTATGCACATATATTTTATATTGAGGTACTTTTATACAAATAAGTATAAAATGATGTATCTTTTCACAATTTTCCCTTAATGTATGATACATATTTGTGTTTCGTGAGTTTAGAAGAGTTTAACAAGTTATTATTCAAGTTTGACTTGAACTTTGAAAAGAGTCAAGATCAAGTCACGAGTGGGGGGTTGAGCATATATTGGAACTCATCAATTTGCTCAGTATTTCAAAGGATAATTCAAATGGTAATAAGAACGAATTATAATTGTAAATCCAAATATTGTGAGTTTGAAATTTGGCAATCCTTTGGGGTTGGGCTATGATGAATTTATTTTTCATAAATAAATTAGTTCCGGTATGGATGATGTGTTTTGTGATCGGACAAAGGAGGAGAGCGTGGATTGCCTGTCTTTGATCGGGCCAAAGAAAAGATTAGTTGAGGTACATGTAAACTGATGTGATCAGATCAAAAAGAAAAATTAGTGAAGGTGCATGTAAATTGCCAAACACACCATTAAAACAAAGGGTTAATTTCATTAGATATCCACAAAGTATGAGATTTGTCTCATTTTAGTCTCTAATATTTCATTTGCATCATTTTGATCTATAAAGTATTGAATATATTTCTATATGGTCTTTCAAGTAGACAATGTTCAGATAACTAATGATTTTTTATCATAAATTTGTCATATAATACCAAAATATGGACAAAAAATAATTTTGATAACTCTTAAACAAATTTGGATAACTTTTGATAAAAAAATGTGCAATATGGATAGCTTTTGACCAAAATTTGGATAACTCATAATCAAAATTGTATAATTTAGGTAGCTATTTAACTAAAATTTAAATAAAAATTTGGTCAATAGTTATCCAAATTATGTTTTTTGTCAATTTTTAAGTATCACATAACAACTTTATGAGAAAAAATCGTTCACAATCTGGACACTGTTTGTTTGAAAGACTATATATAAATATATTCATTACTTTAGGGACTAAAATGAGACAAACTTTATACTTTGGAAGACCTCTAGTGCAATTAACTGTAAAATAAAATAAAAAAAATGTGAGAATTACCCCCAAATCACCTGATGTTTATCACTTAATCATTTAGACCATTGATATTAGAAATATTACACACAGACTCTCTGAGATTTGTATACGCATAACACTTAAACTCTGCTGTAAATATATCGGTTAATAAATTATATTTAGACCCTCCTGAAATTTGTAAGCATATAATATTTAGATCCTAATAAAACTAAAAAATCAAACAAAGGGTCTAAGTCATTCATAATAAAACATGAATTTTACAACCAAAATTCATGTTCTATTATGTCATTTATTGAAATAAAATCAAAAATAAAAATTAATTTTTTTAAAAAATCATAGTTAATATACAATTATACTACTTCATCCGTTCCTAAATATCTGTTGTTTTACACAATTTTTTTTATTCCATAATATCTATCGTTTAATGAAACCAAAGAATAATTAATATTTTTTCTTTCAAATTTACCCTTAACTTTTCAATGCATTAGATTAGGTGGAGGCTAAGTGTCTTTCATATTTGTTTCCTTCTCAATACGTATTGAATAAAGATATTTTAGTGTTGTACAATTATTTTTTACTCATATTAGAGCTATTTAATAACTTCCTTAATTCCTGTGTAAAAATCTTAAACGACAGATATTTAGAAACGGAGGGAGTATCTATTATAATAAAGAGCAATGCTATTGAGACATAATTTATGGACATAATGAGTTATCACCAATGATATGATAATGAATTCATTTAATGCTACAATGGAACCCATCATTAAATACATTTCAGTATCACGTGATTGGTGACAATTCATTATGTCCCCAAATTATATCCATAAATTATACTCCCTCTGTTCCTAAATATCTGTAGTTTAAGGTTTTTGCACAAGGATTAAGGAAATTATTTAATAGCTCTAATATGAGTAAAAAATAATTACACAAGACTAAAATACCCTTATTTAATACGTATTGGAACGGAAAGGAATATGAAAGACACTTAACCTCAACATAATCTAATACATTGAAAAGTTAAGGGTAAATTTGAAACAAAAAATATTAATTATGTTTTGGTTTCATAAAATGATAGATATTATGGAACAAAAAAAATTGTGTAAAATGACAGATATTTAGGAACGGAAGAAGTAACTAAAAAATTAAATAAGAGATCAAATTGTAATGGACACAGTATCTTTTTGTTTTAATTGAAGTGGTTTGATATTTTAATTTGTTTGTTTAAACGACCAAATTAAATTTCAATAAACAATATAATTGTATACTAATTATGATTCTTTAAAAAGAAGTTAAATTTTTATTTTTGAATTTCAATAAATGATACAATAGAACATGAATTTTAATTGTAAAATTTAAAATCTTTGATTGAAATATTTTTGGTGTAAGTATAATAATTTAAATTTGAAAGGTTTAAGTAATATATATTTACAAATTTTAGGGGGTCTGATTATAATTTATTATTTGGTATATTTAAAACAAGAGTGTAAGTGTTACGCCCGTGCAAACTTTAAAGGGTTTGTATATAATATTTTAAATATTAAGGGTTTAAATGATTAAGTGACAAACTTTAAGGAGTCTAGATATAATTCTTCCTAAAAAAAATTATTTAGAACAGAATACGCTAATGAACTTGTTTTCTCCTTTCTTTCCCTTCAAAAATTCATCGAACAGGCCTCAAAGTTCATTCGTGGTGAAAGGGTCCCATGATATCGTCTCATGAACATTGCTTTCAGACCCAAATCATTCCTTCGCTTTCCAATTCTATTCTCTTCCCTTTCCCCCCAAATTCTGAAATGGGTCTCCACTACGCCCACCAAAACTCTACCACAACTTCAACTACACCCGGAACACCACTTCGACATCTTCTTCAACCACGAAAACATACAAAAACGAAAACCCAATTACGAATTATCACTAGTGTCGGCCTTAAAGTACTGTTCATCCCTTTTAGCCATTTCTCAAGGCCAACAACTCCATTGCCTAGTTTTGAAATTTGGGCTTGACTCAAACATTTTCATTCAAAATAGTCTGATCAGTTTGTATGCAAAATGTGGGTTGATCAATGAGGCTAAAGCAATGTTTGATTCATGTTTGGTATTGGACAGTGTGTCCTGTAATATTATGCTGGGGGGTTACGTTAGAAATGTTCGTTTGGACGATGCGCATAAGCTGTTTGATGTAATGCCTGGCAGAGGATGTGTTTCTTATACGACTATGATAATGGGTTTGGCCCAAAATGGTTTTCGGAGTAAAGCAATTGAGGTTTTTAAGGATATGAGATTTTCGGGTGTGGCTCCCAATGAGGTGACCATGTCAAGTGTGATCTCATCTTACACACATTTTGGTGGGGTACAGAATTGCGAAATGCTTCATGGGTTAGTGACTAAACTTGGGCTTGAGGTGTTTGTTCTTGTTTCCACCAATTTGGTTCATATGTATTGTGCCTGTTCGAAGTTAAGTGATGCGAGGGTTTTGTTTAATGAGGTACCAAACAGGAATATAGTTTCTTGGAATGTGATGTTGAATGGGTATTCAAAGGCAGGACTTGTTGATTTAGCTGGTCATTTTTTTGAGAAGATTCCTAACAAAGATGTGGTTTCTTGGGGTACTGTTATTAATTGCTATGTGCAAGTAGGAAGGTTGAGTGATGCTTTAGTGATGTATCGCGCGATGCTTCGTACTGGGTTGGGTCCTAATGATGTTATGATTGTTGATATAATTTCTGCTTGTGGAGTGTTAGTGGCATTTGCTGAGGGGCAGCAATTCCATGGCATAACTGTCAAGATCGGGTTTGATTGTTATGACTTCATACAGGCAACAATCATCCATTTTTATGCAGCTTGCAAAAAACCGAACAATGCTCGTTTGCAATTTGAAGTGGGCAACAAGGACCATCTTGCATCTTGGAATGCCCTCATTGCAGGGCTGATAAGAAATGGAATGATTGATGAAGCGAGGCATTTGTTCAATGAAATGCCTGAAAGAGATGTTTTTTCTTGGAGCTCTATGATTTCTGGTTATTCACAAACTGAGCAGCCTGATCTGGCTCTAGAACTCTTCCATGAAATGGTAGCTGATGGTTTCAAACCAAATGAAATTACGATGGTAAGTGTGCTTTCTGCAATTGCTAGTTTAGGCACATTGGAAGAAGGAAGATGGGCTCATGAGTATATACGGAACAACTCCATCCCTGTTAATGAGAATTTAGGTGCAGCAATCATTGACATGTATGCCAAATGTGGGAGCATCAACACTGCCTTAGAATTCTTCCGTCAAATCCGAGAAAAGACAACCACTGTGTCACCATGGAATGCTATTATAGGTGGTCTGGCCATGCATGGACATGCTGAGTTGTCTCTGAAGATATTTTCTGACTTGCAGAGGCGTAACATTAAACTCAATTCAATCACATTTATTGGAGTCTTGGCTGCATGTTGCCATGCTGGGTTTGTGGAAGCAGGGGAGCTCCATTTTAAGAGTATGAAGGGTTTATACAATGTAGATCCAAACATCAAGCATTATGGCTGTATGGTGGATCTTCTGGGCAGAGCTGGGAGATTGGGTGAAGCGGAAGACCTAATAAAAAGCATGCCTATGAAGGCAGATGTTGTGATATGGGGCACATTGTTGGCGGCATGTAGAACACATGGTGACACGGAGATTGGGGAAAGGGCTGCAGAGCATTTGGCAAGGGTGGAACCGTCTCATGGTCCAAGTAGAGTGCTTCTATCCAATATTTATGCAGATGCAGGGAGGTGGGATGATGCATTTCTTGTGAGGCGAGTAATGCAACGCCAAAGATTCACAAAGTCACCCGGGTACAGTGGTGTTGTATGATATTGTGATGGACTTATTTAAACTACTTGAGATTTTGACTCAACTTGGATATTAGGACTGTTGTTTAGTTACCCAGAATTGATTCTTACTAAACAGGTTCAATATTGCTATGCAGAATTCTATCTTTTCTGTAAATTGTATGATTGCTTGAATACTGAGCAAAATTTGTCAGAATTGACACTCTTTTAAAGCTAATACAAATTATCAGCAATTTTTCGAACCTCTCTTGTGATGTGCAAGTGTAATATTTTCATTCAATTCTTATCTATGAAAACATTAGCTTCTCTTCATAATGTAATATTGTTTCCAGTGCAAAATTATGAATATTGTTGCCATATCCATAAATGTTCTTTTCAATGCCCAAACTAAGTGCTGTTAATTTGTTAGCAAGCGTTTAAAGCAAAAAAAGAGATGTATGGCTGAGGGAGGGAGAGAAAGAATGTATGCATGAAGATTCTGTCCGTCGTTTGTCATGCGGAAACCTAATGCCCAATTCATATAAAACAAAAGTTAGCATAGCCCTACCTTCTGTATGGAAGTTCCTATTCAAAAATTAAACTGTCCACTGTAATAGATTTTATAACCTTTTTCTACATGAAAACTACGTCCTACAACTACAATCACCAACCTACAAAATATTGAATGTAAGGGGCAAAAAATCTAATTACAAAACTATGACTCATTTTCAATGATCATTTCAGCGGCTGCACCCATTGTAGCAACCCCACCGACCCCCAGCAAACCAAGAGCAAGCTCCTCCTCATTCCATTGCCTCAGCCCTTTACTCAGTCTCTTCAGCACCTCTATATCCACATCCAACACCCAAGTTGGGGTACACCCAACCATCAGGCTCACAAGTCCCGACACATAGGCACGCCAGGTGGTTGGATCACAGCCAAGTGATATCTTCCCATCAAGGGCACTTGCTAGAAATTCCATGAGATCCCCTAGAATTTTGGGACGCCGCTTTGATGCTGATGAGGTTGAATCAATGCCCCAAGCAAATACTCCACAAAGCAAAGCAAAGTAAGCTAGTGCATACCCGCCAAGCATTGCAACCAACCCTCCTGAATATTCTACCTGCTCAGATCGGTGAACAGATATGAACCAAGAAGGCAGTGTTTCGTTTATTACTGATTGAACTAGCCCCAAGCCACCAGATAACCATACTAAAGAAGCCCCTAGCAAAGCAGCTAGTTTCACTCTAGTCATTGATGTAGCAAGTGAAACATGCCCATATCTCATTCCGTTTTTTGCTTTCTTCAGTTTCTCTAATCTCTCTCTAGGAGGCCCACTGCATACTATGTCTCTCACAGATTGAATCAACAAAGAGACAATCTCTTCTCTCAAGAACATGATATCTCTGATGGACCGATAAACACGTAGATAAAGAATCCCTGGAGCAACTGGAGAGATCCCCCCACAAAAATGTGATCCATATCCATGTCCAAGAAGTGCTCCAATGCCACCATTGCTTGAGATAGAGGTGGTATTCAGGCCAAGTGTGGCAGTGAAGCAACTTTTGAGAAGCTGAACCACTGCATCATTGTTGTGGCTAAAGACTGTACGTGAGGCAGAAAAGACGAGAGAATCACTCCAGCGTTTGGCCTTTTGGGTCCATAAAGAAGCCACAATGGGCATGCATGGCCATGGGCAACCTGCTGCAAGGTACTCCAAGGCAGGTCCTGCCAGATTGAGAAACCGTTGTGAAGCTTTATCAAGTTTATAGGTTATAGTGAGGCTCACGAAGGCAGCCAAGGGCAATGGAAGTGTGGCTGGAGAGCTTCCACCTACAAGAAAGAGAATTCCAATCCTTAGAGACATACTGGTTTCAGCTAATGAAAAACAAAAACCATTCTCATAACACCAGTTTATCCGCCAGATTTTCCCCAACAGTTCAGAGCACTAGTGATCGCTGCCTCAGACCATGAAACATTGTTTGGACATTGATCATTTGTTTATAAAATTTCAAAGTTCTAGACTTTTGATCATTGAGATGGTTTCAATCCTTTGTATATAAAGTTTCACTCATACTGGCATGCATGTCCAATAAAATTGCAGTCTTTTGAAAAAAAAGATAACAAAGAGGGAAACCTGCAAGAAGGCTCAGGACATCAACACCCGTGGCAGCTAGAATTTTCTTGATATGTTCCTCAACATTAGACAGATTTGCAGCAGGACTTGGCCAATCTGTTCCATTCATGAAAACTGGTTTCCAAACACCACGAGTTACTTCAGCTGACAAGTAACTTACTATGGTTGCCAGAGATGCAGGAAGCAAATCAGCCAACTCTTTAAGTCCTGGAAAATAACAAGAACTATGATACAAGCTGAAATTGATAACAGTTGAAATCTTGGAAACTTCAGCAGATAAAAGCATATTCAAAGCAAAATATAAACACGCTTATATATCATGGTCGCAGCAAGTAAAGGCGTATAATGTATGAATCAGTTCCACGAACTCAAGACATGCACAACATACTAACCTGTACACAATTCACGAGGAGACAGTTTTCCATGGGCACATGCTGTTAGAGCAGCATCAACCACAAAAGGAACAGCTTCAAGGATGTCCCATGCAGGTAATTTGGGTCTTAAAGAAGTATCTTCACTTCCAGCACCAGACGAACTGCTACTTCCAGATGTTACAGATATCAAAGACTGGCTTCCTTTATTAATCTTACTGAACATCATGTTAAGAAGTGAATCAACAATCCGATGGACAGGTGTCCCTGGAACAAGCCCGGAGAGTGTTGAAGCTATAAATGCTAGATGCTGCCGGTACCATACTTTTAATTTTGGAAATGAATCCACAAATATTGGTTTAGGAGATGATGAACTTGCAACAGCTGCAAGTCTCCTTTTATTTGGGTCCTTGTGGTTGTTTTTACAAGATACTAAGTGTGAATTCCTTACTGATAAGAGGTACTCAGGAGTTAATTGGGATCCTACTGGTGGTACATGTCCCACCCCATGTTCAAGAGGTGGATGATTAAACCTCCATAGCTTCAAAAGGAGTGCAAATGCATTTGAAAACACACAGTGGGCAGAAACTTCTTCTCCTGGTGTTGAAGTCCATGAGACACATGGAACACATGACCCAAAAACCTCACAAATTGGCATCAATGAAGCAGCAAGCTGAGGAACCTGACAAAAAGAGAAAAACATTAGTTCCCAGTTGAAAAGTTTCGGCAATCACCCACTCCTCACTCTGGTGCACGTTTCTCTTTTCGAAGAACAAGAATACTACCCATTCAATAAGCCCTCCCATCCAACTCAAGGTTCAATTCGGATCACAAAAATCCTTCTTTTTCTTTCTTCCTTATCATTTACTTTATTAGGGCATGATCTTTTAGCGTATCTTTCGCCCAAATCTCCACCAATTCCTCAACCACATTCTGAACCAGCATTCCATCACCCTTTGAATTAAATGAAGTCTAAAATGGTTAAGCAGTAGCACTCACCAAAGTGCAACTGTAAACAACATAACGTAAATGCACATGGCATCAATCTCTCCCATTACCAAATCAAACCAACAGGCAGTAAGGTAGGTTTAATGAAAGGTACAACTCAAAAACCGAAACAACTGTATTCAATAGTCCTGTCAAACCAAGAACGCAACGGTCTGACTACTTCTGGGATGCTAAAAGCAGCACTTACCAAGCCATGTAGGGAGAAAATCTGAACACAGTCAACAGATGCTATTCCAACAAGAATGGCATTCAGCATTGGAGCATAATCTATCAAATGGCTGTCACTCCCAGAATAGTTGGCAGGAACTGGCGGGGACAATAGTCTAGTTATAAAATAAGCGGTGTGTTCCTGTAAGTGTCATGAACGAAACACATTTACAGCAGTTGGGTGCTTCTACAAATAAAATCGAACTATTGCTTTGTACAGCTTGGTGTTGGTGATCACATTATGTTTGCAAGAAATGACTTTTTAAAATCATTACCTGTATATTCCACCCATGAATCAAAGAAGCCCCACAAAGAATTTTAGCAGCAGCTATCCTCTCATCTTCTGATCCTTTGACTGCGATCTCAAAAATTTTCTGGAGCTCTGCTAAGCTTCGATCAAATCCATGAGCTTAAATTTAGTTGATTTATCCTTGGCTATATCAATTAAAAAAAGAGTATCTGATATACCTGGCTTCAGGAAAGAAAAAGCTGTAACTGAAGACCAGGTCGCAGTCATGAATATAGAAGGGAATCTAGAAGTTATTTACATTACGTCACCTTGTAAATTTGAAGCCACCAACAATACAATAAAAGAATCATTACCAAGTCTTGTCCGAATTATCTTGGGTTGGCTACATGACTGTCGGTATTATATTCTGTCAAGGGTTTATATGTCAGTTAATTATAGACACCTTATCTTTTTTCTTTCCACCATTCCATGTCAATTTTGGTTCTCCCTCCCCCCAACAATTATACTCTTCCTTGTTGGTGCATTCGCGGGTCTTCGCTGTTTGGAATCTCTAGTCTCCTCCCAAGTACTGTTAAACATAAAATCCCCAAGATAAAGTTGCATTCCATTTTATGGCCCCCCTGTAAAATTTTACTACCAAGAATCTAGTCTTCCCAAAATATCCCTTACAGCAGACCCCTCCACATGGGATCATTTCACAGAATATATTAGAGGCTCCAGGGAATGACTTGGGGGTCAAAGATTGGCATAAATGAAGTTCTAACAATGGAAATATCAAAAAATCAATGACATGGATTTTTGAGAGGGACAACTGCATGAATACCTTGTAGCAGGAGCTGAGACTAAAACATTTATCATTAATGGAGAAAGTGATGCCCCCTTCATGAGTGATGACCATCCAGGAGCTTGAGCAGGCACACTATGAGGTATTCGGTTGATACTTCCATTCACATAGCCCGGCCAGAAATATGCTGAGGTGTCCAGAAGATTTCTGGCAATACAGGACTCAACTATCAGATGGTGCAAGTTTCCAGCTGCAAACAAAGATATAAAAGTCTGTAAGCTTAGACAGCCTCATGGATAAGATCGCATAAACTCTATGTTTCATTTTAGTTCCGGCAAGAAATGTTCACTTCATTGGAATCTGTTGTTGCTTTTTTTATAATTTACCTTGATTATGTTGTTCAGCACACACAAATAGTTCCACCTTATTATGTGTGGATATAAAATGAAATTGCAATTAACCCACTAGTTTCATATCTCTTATCTTGACTGCTTAATTATGATATCAACTGTACACAGGCCCATCAAATGAGAACTAAGACACTGTCTGAGAGAAGGCTTTTTGCATCAACATTCTCCAGCATTTCAAAATTGAAAAGGAAAAAAGGAAAAATCTTGCAACCAGTGGCAATCAATTTGAGGAGCTAGAGGAGTTTAACTTGCAGGCTTATTTGCATGAAGAGGTAACCTCAAACCAAAAGACGTGTTTCTATGTTGTCACCCAAGCTTTTGTATTTGCACCCAACAATAGGCCCTACTCCCCAACCATCAAAACAAGTCTAATTTATATCACTAATTCCAACCTCTCAAGCTTTTAAAATATTGTGTATTATTCCCCCTTAGTTGGTAACATATTGGCCAATAGAGTCCTCTCTAGTACATTGGCATTTAGATTGGTTTCAGTGGACACAACTACAGGGACCAGAGGCACCTAATCATTGCAACCAGCAAATAATTACATTCCTTTCCACAATTAAATAGATAGAACCAAACACCAGCAAGTGAAAACAAAGATGCCTTCTGCATGAGACACCCCTGCAAGCCATGCAGCAGAACTCACTGCTCTGCAACAAGACCAAGTCAAAGCATTCCATATTGCCATGCTTATTTGATTGGCCCAAACCCTAACTTGTATAAGTATTTTTGAAGTTGGCAAGTAGAAAATGTTACTTACAACAGTTGACTGGCATATCTTTCATGCTGATGCACTGAAAGTACCCATTACCAGCGTCAATTCCTGATATAAACAGCGTTGCTTTTGCAGCTGCCTGATTGGCCGCAGAAATAACTGATTGAGGTGGAGTCAACAAGCTGTGATAATCAACCAGACACTGTAAGCTAGAGACCAAATCTTCACGACGCTTTCCATGAACCAGTTCAGTACTGTAAGTTTCAGCATTGCATTCCATTTCATCAGTTGGTGCACTTTCCTCTTCATCAATAAGATCGGCGACCACAAGAGTTGTGATAGACAACAACATGCACAAGCGAGCATCAAGGCGAGGCACAGGGCCCTCAATGGGATCCCTTTCCTAGAATTAATGAAACAACAAAAGAAATAAGACACAAGTTGCATTCCATCAAAAAAAACATCCACCAAAGAAATGACACTCCCTTCTCGTTTAGTGGATCTTATTCTTAAATTCATCAAAAATAATTCATTATTTACCATTGGGAAAAATTCAAATTAAAGAAACTTAACAACCAACTAAAGCATGAATTTTTGATGTAATAGTCAACTCAGCCAGTAAAGATAAAGTTTTTTTACTAACTGTGAGCCTCTAATCAATATTCCTATCTGTCTTTTACAGCATCAATCTAGCGAGATGTTACTTCAACGTACTACACAATCAACCGATAATTTAGCCAGTTCAACAGAAAACCCATCATTTTGGTATTTAGATAAAGAATTTTCACAAGAATTTCCAAAGTGTCCTATCCCTTCTGACGCCGTAAAGAATACCCATAGAAATATTGCTTTAATTTTTTTAAGAATTGTGAAAATATAAGAGTGAATGACAGATTTTTTTGAGAAATGAAAAGTCCCAACCCTTTGAACAAGACGTAGAGCCGCCATCCACAGACCTAAAAAGCTACCATGCCAAGTAGTGCCATTAATTGCTTGGAGGGCCTTCATCAAACCTGTAAAATAAAAGCATAAATCTGTTTGATTAGAAACTGGTTGAAGAGAGTATTGTCATTTCTTATAAAGCTCAATTTTGAGGATTGAGTATTATTTTGAGTTACCAGTAATACTTTCAACTGCACTTGTTGCACTAACTTGATAACCATCCATAGTGTCTTCTAGCACCAGATCAAGAGGAAGCCAAAGAGCAGAATGACTAGCCCCGTGACAAAGACCAGCGAAAGAGGCCAGAGAACCCGAAGACATAATTGCATGGAACATTTGTGATGAACTCGTTTTGCATTCCAGAGAGAAAATTTTGTGAGTTCCTGATGTTAGCTGCAGAAGAGCATCTGGAGTCATAACTGTTGAATTTCTCAATATAGATGAATTTTCTCCAAGTAGCCGTATTTGCTGGACAAAATCTTGCCAATGTGTGGGCCTGAAAATGGTAAGAATTATAAGTAAAAAATCTGTCATTTAAAGCGAAGGCCACGAAGTGTGAACTCCTAAGTATAGACATGACTGCCTATAATGTAAGAGAAATTGTGAGCCTAAAAGGAGTGGAATGCCAAATCAAGTAGCTATCCACAAATGGTGTGCAAAAGTTTCTAGCATGAGATGATTTGATTCCGTCCTTGACTCGATGTAAATAGGTGCCTTTCAAGATTTACAAATTGTACCTCAGATCTAATATTGTGCACATAAATATGCCAAAAGTAACCAATATGTTCAGTTCACTTCCACGAGACTCATTCAACTGTGGGATGCAGAATGTTTGAAAACCAATTACAAAAGGAATAAAGTTCTGACATGTTTAGGCGTGCCAAGTAAAGAATCCTGGAAGTTACTTTATTTCTCAGAAATAGGCCTATTAACTCTATGGCCATCCGGGTATTCATATTCTGCAATCTATTTTGATGGTCCATCCTCTTATCAGCATAACTACCGTGAACATCAACTTCCATCTCCTGATGTTTAGTTTCCCATCGAGACTTCTTCTCAGGCAGAAGTTCCAGCAGTCTTTCGTCATCTAAAGATGCATCAAGTAATTGCCATACAATTGAAAAAATAAACTCAACCACAAGAATGCCAGGTTCACTTGCTTGAAGACCAAATATTTGAGAAAGATGGAGGACAGTGTTTATCAATTTCATGGTCCTGCATGAAAAACAGAGGTTAAGAATAACCACTAAAACCCAAGTGGGGTAATTAACTAATGAAGTCCTCATTACCAAAAGGTGAAAAGAAACTACAATATTTCATAAATAGCTATATGTAAATGTATATCTAAATATGTACATTCTCATTATTATGCGACTCATGTAGAGGAGAAAGACAAAATTAAGTATCTATGACAATACGAAGCAAATGGGCAGTGAATGAGATTGTTCTCCTCCTATGATATATTATAGGACAAGATTCAAAACTTACTTTGGGTAATTCGGAACAGCTATATAGGATTTAAGACTGAAAGCATATCTCTTAAGGAGTTCCATATAAAGCCTAAATGCTCCTGACCGCGAACATCGACTAGGAATTACCCTGTTGGAAAGAATGAAAAAATAAGTGCAGCACAAGAGCAACATGTAAAAGAGAAAGCAAAACAACCAGAGATGAAAACCTCTCTGCACGAAAATTCTGCCAAATACTTATTGGACTAAGACGCCAAATTTGCAAAATCAGACAGACAATAAATGCATAATTGTTCTGCCATTAAGAGAGCAAAATTCCTTCGAACCTCTCTCAATGGAGGATGCTACATTGCACATTTAAGCAATGAAATTACACTAATTTCAAGAAAAAATTTAACATGCCCAATGAATTAGAAGGCACCCTAAGTTGCAGCATCTATAATTACTTCATCCCAATAAGCAAAACAATTTGTCGACTTGAATACTAAGAAACACTTATAAGCAGCTTAATCAATGCCAAAGATAGGAAGCAAAGCTTTTAATCCCATCATAAAAAGCCAACAAAATACATAGTCGACCACTAACACTCGGTCTAAATAACCAGTGGATAGCACCCAAATTCCAAAAAAACGTAGTGTTTGAATCAAAAATCACACAAAAATTATGTCTGAGCTCATCATTGCTCACATAGTTTCCAAAGAATTCGCAATGAACAAACATTTCATAGTAACATGATAAGACAACAGATGATGACAATGTACCCATCAATCAACACTTCACTGTGCAACAAACTACAGGACATGTCATGATAAATCAATGCTCAAAACAAAAACTGTTCAGAACAAGTTGGACCATTTCCTGTAGAAAACTACAACTGAAACATAAGCAAATATTTACACAGATACACCTATAGATAAATAAGTTCTCAAAATAAGCCCTCATCAATAAATTACCAAACAGAATTCATGCCATCCCAAATACAAACCTTTTGAATCACACAGTACACAGAATCAAACAAATGGTTGCAAAACAGAAGTAGTCCTCTTCGAGTTCAATAACACACCAGCCTTTTTTCATGTGGACCAACCTACTGAAGTGGGACCAAAACCAAAAATCAATGGCGGGTAAAGTTCAAAGACATTCACGCTCTATCTCCAACCGGTCAACCTCTAATAGCAACACCCAAAAACACCACCACCTTTAAATCACAAAAGCATCCATAAAACACAAATTGCAAAATACTCATTCAAATTTTTTTCAAAAAAAATACTTCAAAAAACAAAAACGGAGAAAGCAAAGACAAAGAACCTTGTGGAAAGCAGAGCCAGAACTAGCATTGGAGGCACGATCTTGAGCATTAAAGCCCTCTCTAGGAACTTCCATGCAATAGGAACATTGTTATCCCAGCAAATGTGTGAAACCAAAAGGTTGGCAAGCTCAGTAGAAGGCAGAGAAACACCTGAAGAGCTCAAATATGAAGATAGCTGAATTGCCCACAACAAAGGATCATTACCCTTCTCTTGTGCCACCTTTGTCATCTCCAGGACACTGTCCCAGAGACTGGACTGTATAAACACCGCCATTTAATGGGTCATATGCGCAGAGAGAGAGAGAGAGAGAGAGGTGCTCAAGCTTGGGGGAGAGAACAGAAGGCACTAACTAAAAGGAGAGTCGATGTTGGGGGTGGGGGGAGGTTATGGTAGGTATGGGCAAGTGGGATTCTGTGTGCGCAATACCGTTCTGTGTGCATGCACTTGCAATATGATTGGTCTGAAATGTGAAAAGTCAAACTTTAAGTTGAGACCCAAAATATATGCGAGTGATTTTCATTAGTGGGATTAAAATATGACTTTTTTAAATTTAAATTTTTTTAAATTTCAATCAAGTTTAATTATCCTCAATATGTTTATCGAATTTCGGTATATATTAGTAAGATCTAAAGCCAAGTGATTAAAGTTAGCACAATGTTGTCATTACGATAAAATTGAAGATTGAGTAGATCTGAATTCTTAAATAAATAATTACCGAGTTAGTGATTTGTGAATAAGACAGTGCTTTAGATGCATGAGTTTATTCCTGAAATTTCATTGTCAATCATTGGTATTGATATGATGTTTTTTTAACCTTTTGTGATGAAAAAAATGTTATAACCGTGCTTCTTTGCACTTATGATTCTTACATAAGTTCAAAAAGTGTACAATTATACACAAATTATATATATTTTACGATATTAACTTTTAAAATTTTGTCGTTCGACTTCCCTCGTAAGTTGAACGAACAAAGTTGAATTTGTCATTTGAAATGGATTGTGACCATTGTATTTTTAGGTCATTCCAATTATATTGCACCCAAGATCATGGTCCACTTTCCCCAAATATATTTATAATGGATCATGGATCAATTAAGGTTTGGCACTATGATTAGATAATGGCAATACTAAATTACATGCCTTTGTTACATAGAACAAGTGGACAGTTCAGCTTTATTTTTGCTCTCTGAACTAAAACTTTTTCCCCTATAATTGGTCTGTTAGGTCAAAGTCAAACCAATTGAGGTGCAGTAGTGGCATTAAGATACAGTTTTAGCCTTTTATTATTAGATAGTATATGTAAGTACTAGCCTAATACGCAAAGAATTGAAACTCTATTTATATAATTCTTTTGATCTATAATATATTACTCTAGCCTAATTAGAGAAATATAAAAACAAAGAGACATGAGAACAAGGATCGTTGACAAAATGAAATAAAATGTCATCACAAGCAATTTTAGAATTCCAATTTTACAATGTGAAGAGCTTAAAAACTCCCTGTTTTTTCTTTTTCATAAAGGAGTTATATGTGTATTGCACCCTTTTGGTTGGAGCGTTTCCCTTGACTTGATCGTTGTGCCAAGGACTGGTGGTGCGTTGAGCAGCTCAAATAAGGGTATGCAAAAATTGCCCTTTTCCCCCCTGCTATGTTTGGTGACATTGTTTTGCATGGTTAAAGTAAGAGTCGACAATGAATCGAATTAAGTTGGTTGACAACTTGTGCTTGTTTGTAGGTTGGACCAACGGGTTGGGGAATTGGTCGTGTAAGATCATAATTAAATTTATGAATTTATTATATAAATTCGGGTGATAGTATTTTGATATATTGAATGTTGATCAATTGTTTAGATGTCATAATCTATGCTAGTCGAATTACATCAATTTGATGGGCTAAGATAGGGCAAAAGATGCTCCACAACCCAACCCATCAAGCTAATAGGCCACCCAAGGATGCCATATAGTTGGCGGGATCTTGTCGACCCTTATTGGTATGCCTGTGTTCCAATATAGCTTTAACTATGGTGAAAAAGGTATAACTCTCTCCAATTTCATAGGAGAACTAGATTAAGAGGTTAGAGGTACCCTTTTTTTTGTCTAATTGTTTAAGATTAGTGATGTGATATTTAACCCTACCATGCTTCATCCACAATAAATAGTTAGGTAGAGAGAGAGAGAGAGAGAGAATAAACAAAAAAAAAAAGGGAATGGACGTGAGGGTAAAATAGTCTTTTTAAAAAAATGAGATGAAACGTTTTTTAATTATTATTATGGAGGGGTTTGGTGATTATTTGTTACAACCACAATGAATGGCCCACTAATGGATCCCGGATGATAAGGATCTACAAGGTGATTTTTAATTGGAATATGATGAAGTATAACTTTAATATTATTATTAGAAAAATAATAATAATTTTAATATTAGCAAATTAATTGAGATTATAGCACATGTAAGGATCCAAGATTCTCTCTTTCATATTCTCCTTCACACCCACCTCCATTATTTTCTTATTTGTCTACATAAATTAAAAAAAAAAAAAAATTATAGTGGTTAGGGGTAGGTATAGACAAAGACATGTTGCTATCCTTATCAAAGTTGGTCCTACTGATGCTATTGGTTTAGGTATATGATGAAACTAGTCTTTATCTCTACTTTTTTTTTCCAATGAGGGCAAGTAATGGATGTCTGTTGGCTTTATTCCATTGCTTTTATCTTGTACATCATGATACCTTGGTAGGTAAGCCTACTCATTGCTTAGAAGTCATATAACAATCAAATAATGGGTCCATCATTATCCTAAAACTCTTAGACATTTATGCTTCACTTCCCCTCCCACAAATTATATGTTTTTGTATTTTTTTATAATGCAAAATTATCCCAACTCGTACATTTTGAATTCGTGATTATGACATTTCAATGTTCGAATGAATTTTTTTTCTTGTAAAATGTGTTCAGTGTATAAGTTAAAAATCAGAATTTAAATGATGATAAGTATTCATCCATCGGAGCAATCTGTCGTGAATTCAAATATATGAAAAATCAACTTTTAAAAAAATGAGAAGAAGGTTGTCAATCGTTTTTTACATCTCGCAAATCTTGCTATATGCGATAATTTGTGCATTGGGTATAAATTTTTTTGCTCTAAAGTGAAAAAGTTGTAAAGCATGAATGATGAAAAAAAATGAAGAGTTTGCTTATGCAAAGGAGAAGACATTAAGTTCTCAGTGACTATGATTATCCTTTAGACTTACTTGTCCACCCATGCAATGTTAATAATCATAAAGGAGTTTTTAATTTAATCAGAAAGTAAATTAGGTGAAATGGTTTGGTCATCTACATGATATTTTATCATAACCACCCATGAAAGAGATCCAAGTTGGTGGGAGGTTAAGGTATTGGGGTGGGGGAGGGTAGAAAGAAAATATACAACATTGCCAAGTGATTATATACTTTTGTTTATTATTTTCTAAGTTTTTGTTTCCTTGTCCTAGATCTTAGGATGGTAAGATTGGTAATCATTATTTTTCATTGTTATAAATCATGTTCTTGGTTGAAATTATTGGACATTTTTCTTTGTCTCCTCTGCCAAAGGATAGATTAATGGATGACACCCTACGTCCATGTCTCGATCAAGAGACAATATCTTACAATTAACGTATAGGTCGAGGTGACTCTCCACTAACCATCTATGGAGGTAAGGAGGCACAAATGTAGTAGTTTGGGAATTGCCTTTTGAATCTAATACAATGGTTGGATTAGTAGTGTATCTCGTTCAACAATTGGATTTTCTGTTAGTCTAGTAACTGCAATAATTTAAGTCAACAAATTAAATCTAAGTAACATTATTTTTTTTTATTTTATGGAAACACGCATAAACCTCGGGATTCTTGTAAAAGAGAGACGAGTGGTAGGAGTTGACAAAAAATAGTGTCGATTCAGTAAAGTCAAATTTTTAGGGACTTCTTGACAATCCCGCATCTTCTAGCAGCGAGAGTAAAGTGCCAAAATATGGTGCCACGCCACCTTAACCAAGACGGCCCAAAAAAAATCTAGTTAAGGCTTATTGGATAGCCCACTAAAAATTCACCGGGGCTAGCTCAATATGTAAGTAGTGGACTGGCCCTTTTCGACCATGGTGGGCTGACCATCTGAGCAATTAACAGCCTGGCAATCTAGTCTGAACTTGCATTTGGGCAGTTGATTGGTGGGCTATACCTGGCCGGCCCAATCCATTGACAATCCTGGTAGAAACCCTTCATAAGAAAACATAACATGTATGACTTACGTTTATGAATAGATCGGATTTTGATTTGAATTTGATTAACTAAATATAAATTGATATTTTTTTATTGATAATCCGAATTCGCTACCCTATTTCACATTTTCAAATTTGGTTATACATATATCTGATTTGATTATGATCTGATCTAAAATATGTATATAATTTTACATAAATATTAAAAAAATTAATTGAATATTTGAAAAAAAAAATTAATCAAAATTTATACATAATTTGTTAAATTCTAGTTAAATTAAGTTATTTAGATCGAATTGAGTTGAATTGGACGTTTAAAATCGAATTCAATTCGATCAAAATCAAATTCATTAATAAAGTAAGCAATTCAAACCACAACTACACCTAAAAGTTAAAATTTTCTAGTAACATGACTTATAAACTATTCGAAACTAGGAACATGACTAATAAACCATTCAAAATTCCATACCATGGCATTTGCTCCATTTTCCAATGGCTAGTCTAAAACTTTTATTACTCCCAATTAACTTGTAATTATACCCACTAATAACAAAATGCGACTTTTTGTATCAATTTTCTCCAATATACTTTCTTTCTATTTCGTTAGATAAGCAGACCAATCATCCTATATGAATGACAAACTTGTAAATTGTGGGTAATTTATAATTGACACTAAAATGTGTTGGGAAACTAGGAGTCTATGATCTAAGACCCAACATACATGTTCGAAACCCACGTCTACCTAAAAACTTAAGCCTATAAGTGGTGAGTTTATTCATTGTATATTAGGATATTTTAACTTATTTTTTTATCCGATGTAAAATTCTGGTACATGCAATACCCAATCATTATTTATTCGAGTTTGATCCACCACTCTTCGCAAGCAATACATCCAATCATTATTTATAAGAATATGTTCTTAAAAGAACTAAACCTTTTTTACTTTTTACGAGTCGCTACTCTGTCAAAAACTCTTGTGCCCAATTCCCCATCTTATTTTATTTTTCCCCTGAGTTGCGATTAAATGATTTCAATACTAAGAACTCGTCACTTTTCTTAAGAGCCATCAATTGTTGAATACCACTGGCCAATAACTTCAATACACGGTTTTTGAATTTAAATATTTTATGTTATAATTTAATTCAAATTAAATCATAATTTCTTCAAATTAACTCATGGCGTACGTATCTATAGGCCTTTGGTCCAATAATGTTATTTACCTTATAAAAATTTTATTTTTTTAAAATTAGGAGCTCAAGTCTCCTTTTTCACCTCACACAAAAAAAAAAAAACATTCACGTCGTACGTATTTCTCTCGACAAAAACTACGTCAGAGATAATGCCTAGTTGTTCTTTTCTATTAATATATATATATATATATTCTTTTTTTGGAGGGGGCGGTGGAAAAAGATAATATATATTATGATGAGTAAACATTCACCTAAGATAGTTGCAAAGTACGACCGAGCAAATCACGTATCATTTGATATGAATAATTTTTATTTTTTCGGTTATTTAATATCATAGTCTTAATCTGTGATCTAGCTGGGAACACGAGTACGTAAGCAACTAGGTAAGATAGGGGGCGGGGGGCAGGGGCAGTTGGGTTGCCTTTTCAATCGGTCTACGGCGGCTCAATGTTGCTATTGGTGCTAGTTTGTGAGGAGTGTTGGTCTCGAGTCGAACAGAAATGCCATTTAACTCTCTAACTAAATTATTTAGACTCAATAATTTATCATACGGTTTATATTGAACATCTTATTTACAAAAGAGTATAATAATAATTCAGATTGTTTGAAATTAAATATTTTTAATTTTTTAACTACGATAAATTTATTTATTTATATTTAATATTTCAATCATAATAAAAATATTAATTATAGTTATCTTTTAGCCATAATAAATATACAACAATGGTCAATATTGATTCAATTTTTATCTATTTTAATTTGATGACACAAAATTCATCCCCAAATTTATTTTTTTCGCTTAAAAATATCATATTGTTTGTACAACTTACAATGTCAAACAACTCAACTAATATACTTCCAAATATCATACAGCTTCATTAATTTATACGTATCCTCTTATTTTTTTTTGTTTTACTTTAATTTTAAATTATGTAATTAAAAAAATAAATTATTATTTTGAATATAAAAATCTTGCACGATAAATATTTATTTTATTTTTATAAGTAAATTTCATTCTGTTATCAGTTAAACGAGCCAGTTCGTTTATGTGTAAATTCAGTTCGATATAGGCTCAAATTCAACTCGATTAACATTGTTAGTTATCACTTTTACACTCTCACCGTCAACGGCGTCGTCGTCATCGCCCTCGCTCTCGATATAAAAATTAGTTGAACAATTTAAATGATAAAGATAATATAATTTAAGAGTCACCTAATCTACATAGATAACTCAAGTAAAACAAAACAATTGTCAAATATTTGATTTTTTACGTTGGGCTGTTTGGTTAGAAGGAAAAGACTGATAGGGAGTGAAAGTGACCTCCCCACACCCTTAGACGGGAGAAATTTTTGTCATTCCACGTGGAGGGTTGCACTCATACAAAAATTTCTCCCATTTATAAAACTCTGTCTAAGGAGACACACATTTATCTACCGAATTATTCTGTGGTTGTGAGCGTCTTATCAATAGATTGAACTCCAAGAGTAAGGGATGTCGGGACCTCAGTGCTGTGAGAACCCACCAAAACCCAGCTCAAGCTGTGGAGCAGCAGGGCATGTGGAAGAAATTGGAGGCCTCAAATCTTACGTTTCTGGCCCTTCTGATTCCAAACTTGCTGTTATTCTCGTGTCTGACGTTTTTGGTACTTACCCAGTTCAAAATTTATGTATATATTTGGTGTATAGTTCAGTTTTTTGTTCTTGGTATTTCTGTATTTGGTGTCTAGTGGAGTCTTTTTGATCAATTTTATTGGTATTTGATTGTTTATGAGTGTTGTTGATGGATAATTCAAGTAGCATTTGGTTAATTGATGCATGCTTGGTGTTATCGAAGGGATTAATGTGAATTTAAGGTTATTGTTTCGATTATCAAGCGATAATTATCTTTAATACTGCCAATAGCATTAGAAGTTTCGTTATGACCAAGTAAACTGATCGTCAATCCGTGATATCAATTCTTAGAAGTTTTGTGGCTTTACTTTGTGCCGGGGAAACATCTCCTCTTGTCTTTTTTATTTTTGTTGTTGTTTAAAAATGGTTTCTTGAAAGGAAAATAATTTTCTTCATATAAAAATTGCTTCCACATCCTTATTCTTGATAACTTCTGTTTTGTAATTATCCTTTTTCCTTATGACAATTTGTTTCTGGTACGGTTTAGTTGGAATTGGAATGGAAAATGGACTTAAAGGAGGTTGTCAGTTGAATCATGTCTACTTGCTACTAATTGTCCTCATCACTGTCTCAATACTAATTTTATGTATTGTTTGATGTTGCAGGTTATGAACCTCCAAACTTAAGGTATGATTCATCTCAACCCAGTTTGTGAGACAATATTACATTTTTTCTTTTTCTTGTTGCTAGGATGTTCTTAAATGCTTTCCTTCTTTTAAGTATTGTGAGCTTAAATCTACCTAATCTATGGCTTTTTAGTCCTTTGGTGCTATGGTAAATTGAAAGCATGCTATTTAGATGCCATCAAAAGAGAGCCATCCAATGTTTGCTTATGTCCTTAGTTCCAAATCTTAATACCTGATAGGAGTTAATAGAATCCCATTTTGTACTGTAATAGGAAGGAAAAATTTAAAGAAAAATCGTAGGCCTGGATGATTAGAAATATTCATCTATCAAGCTTTTTCTTGTCTCATTTTGATGTTCATGTTACTTATGCCAAGGCACGTATAATTCCATAGTTATTTGAAAAGTACATTAAGTGCAAGAAAGTGAAATAGCTGTTCTTTCGACGTTTTGAGTATCCAAATGTAGATATCATTCCGATGGACTTCTGGCATTGCCATTGTCAGAAAAATAATATTTGAAATTCACTAGAATGTTTAAAATATTGCTGTTTATATCATTCCAGATGCTCTGTTTTTTATAGAGAAAAATGTTAGTTGGCCTTATGGCCTCCTCTGGGTTAGTATCATATTGTTCCAAAGTTTCTCATGACATAGAATAAGAGAACTCCTACGCACTTTTGAATTTGTTGGAAAACTAACTTGGAGCAGAACTGCAGTAGTACTTAAGTTTGTATGGAACTGCATGCTTGCGCATTAATGAATGTGTATTTGTATGTGTGTATGTGTGTGTGCATGCAAGAATGTTCTCATACCTTAGTACATGCATGAAAGTTCGTGTTTGTATGCGTATGTGCATGAGTGCATCTGGTGGAGGGGATACGTGACACATTGATAAGCAGGGGCGGGGCCATAAATTTAACGTAGTGGGACAAATTTTAACAATTAGAAGATACAAAAATTAAACTACTTATAAATGTAAAAACTTAAATATTAATTGTAACATTTCTATTCAATACATTTACAATTGTTCCAGACTTGTTTTTAAAATTTTAAAATATTACGTGACAATCATTTGATCCAGAAATATTACGTGACAATATTTCTGATCAGGAAATATTACATGACAATCTCATTCCAAACTAGAGAGATGATCAAGCAGATTTAGTGTTTGAAATTTTTTTCACGGGGAAAATTTTAAAATATATTAATACCCATTTAATTTTTTTTTTTGTGAAACAAATTGAGTAGGGGAAGACAGTTGCCCCCACAAATGGCCATGTAGTTCCACCCCCGCTGAAGAGATTTGGCAAGTTTAGCTGCTCAACTTTTCAAACACCCTAAAAAGCTGGGTGAATTTTACCTATTTCGTTGGTTATTTTGGTTTTACAATCTCTTCACATGATTGTTAACCAACCTAATTTGCTTGAATCTGAAAAACAGGTTGCTATTTCACATTGAAGAAGCGAAGTTTTTCCTTACTGAACGAGTTTTTTTGTTCACTACATTTTATTTAGTTTTTTCTCCTTCTCTTTTGACCTCTAGGGCTGTTCAAATGTTACATTTCAGGGTGTGTGTAAATTTTTTTTAATTGTTAAACATAGTTGTTTAGAAGCTCCATTATATAACTTGCTTAGTGATTTTTGGCATTTAGTGATTTGCATTTCATCCCCACTGTGTATTTTGTTAAATAGGTACCAAACTGTATTGTTAACATAACTAGGGTGGGTATGTACAAGACACTAAAGCATTTGTAGCCCTAGAAACCCATTTACATGTACACTTCTGGAAACTAACTTCACCAGTTTTCAACTATAAAGGAAGCTTGCAGACAAAGTTGCAGCTGCTGGATTCTATGTAGTGGTCCCTGACTTCTTCCACGGAGATCCCTATGCAACTGAAATTGCCGAGAAGCCTTTGCTAGGGTGGTTAAAAAATCATGGACCGGTTAGTTATTATCTTAATGCATGCCTATAATCAGTCACCAGTCAAACTAAATTTCATGTTGTGGACTTTTGGGATCAGCTGGCCCATTCATGTCTGTTTTCTGCTGAGAAGTGGCGACATTTCTTTAGTCTTTGAAAGCGTGGGCCTTTTAGTTCCCAAACTCCACTATAGTATTAAATAAGCAGTACTGTAAAAACTTTAGCCTCTTAAAGCATTGCTGTTTCCACAGGATCAAGGGTTTGAAGATGCAAAGCCAGTCATCAAAGCTCTGAAAAGTAAGGGAGTAACTAAGATCGGAGCTGCAGGCTTTTGTTGGGGAGGTGAATTTTTTTTTTCTGAAGTCCACTTTTGCAATAAGATATGCGTGCAACAAACAATTACAAGGATATATTAATACATATTTTCAACATCATTGTTTGACTAAAATTAAATTTCTTGAATTCTTATCAGCCAAGGTGGTTGTGGAACTGGCAAAGTATGCTTATATCGATGCTGCAGTGATGTTACATCCTTCATTGGTCACTTTAGATGACATACATGGTATACTTCCTTTACTATACTACATCCAAGATAATTTTCTTATTTCCATTTGTTGAATCAAGAATTTGATTCAGGCGCTTGAAGTAGGCCGCCTGAAACATTCTGTTGGCAAGTTGAAATGTTTCTTCAGTTTTCTTTTGAACACACAGGTCTAAATATTTGTCTCCATAATTTCCTTTTTTATCCTTCCCGACTCTTTCCTCGTGGGGATCATTACATTCTTCTTTAGTTTTCTGTTGGGTATGGAGAATTAGTAATTTGGTTATTGTTGAGTCATTAACAGCTAGTTTGATTTTTAGGGGTGAAGGTTCCAATCTCAGTACTGGGAGCTGAAATCGACCAGACATCTCCACCGGAGCTCTTGAAGCAGTTTGAGGTGGCCCTAAATGCCAAGCCTGAGGTAGGAAATTTGAAAAACTTGAGCAAGCAATCTATTAATTACACAAAGATGTGTTTTGTGGGTGCATCCTGCCGACATAGAGTGCTCATCTTTTCTCTCCGTGTTAGTAGAATATTTGAATACCCCCAACAAAAAAAGAGAAAAAGAAACTGAAAGGAATGCTAAAATAAAGAAAAACTGGGAGGCGTTTCGTTTGGAGGTGTTGTTACATGCTAAATTAAATACAATTGGCACTGAAAGTTGGAAGGTGCTCACTCGACTGGTAGAATTAGGAGGAAGTGTAACATGCTTATCCACCCTCATTTTTCTTCTTTGTTTTTCTATGTTGAGAATTATCTATGCATATTCAAGTAATTTAAGTTTAAAATATTAATTTGAAACGAAACCCTGTACCCACCCCTTAATCTACAATGGCTTAACAAAATGCCAAGATTTGGAGTAAATTACAAAGGCAAACTAATCATCTGTCTATATATATTTGTCTATGCATATTTCTAGCTATCTATTTTCTCGAGTGAGAGGGCTGCTGCATTGTAACATCACAAGCAGCCATGTATCAGAAGATCTATGATCTTCTTGTTAAATCCCACATTACCTGGAGGAGACTTGATTTCACCCAATCTTCTTTCAGTTTTTCCTCTGCTTTGCCATCTTTCAGTCACATTCAAATTGTCAAATGTTGTTTATTTGTCCCGACATTTAAAAAAATTTCCAATTGCTCTCCCAGATCATTTCCATAGTTTTCTCTATAGCAAGCCACATGTCAAAGCTGTCCTGGATTCATTTCTATGTCTTTCTACTGTTTTCTTTAATATTATCTCTTCCATTAATTATGTTCTACCAAATTTATCAATCAAGGTGTTGCATTAAAAACATTGCACAGGCTTCCTGCTGGTTGATGATGATATGAGACTCATCGTGACCAGCATCAATCTTGCCTTACTCACAAATCACTGACTTTATTGATATCCTCCTGTATATTATGCATTTATTTATTAGAAATTACGTAGAAAGATAATCGACTGATGTGTAAGTTGGGCACCCCCCACACAAGCACGGCCCAATGAAGGGGCGACAGGGAAGGCTACAGGCTCAAATCATTTGACCCGCCTTTCTAAATGGGGGTGTCCGGGCCACATCATCTTGTCATTTTGTCGTTTCTCATTTCTGTTAGGCCGAAGTTATTGGCCTTTCCTTCTCCGCGCTCGCTCACGTATCGCTGACTTCATCTGATTTAAATGTGTTTTTTTTCATGTCTTGCATCTACAGTTGTGTTGCACTTAGCATATTGTGGTCAGTCAGATTTAGTTATATCTAGGTAAGTGATCTACTGCCACAGCAGTTAACTAATTGTCTACTCTTTCCAGGTTGATGGCTTTGTGAAGATATTTCCGGGGGTTGCACATGGTTGGACTGTCAGGTACAAGGATGGAGATGAAGTAGCTGTTAAGTGTGCAGAGGAGGCACACTGTGACATGTTGGATTGGTTTTCTAAGTATCTAATGTAAGAACACTGTTAAACTGTATGATGATATCATGGGCTATACCTTGCCCACAAGTGGCTTGCAGAGATGTGTTGGATTTGGTTTATGATGTATCTGTAAGTTAGATGTTATGAGATTATGGAACTACTAGTGTGTAATACCCTGTTTTTACTCTAATAAGCGGTGGGGGCATTGTTACCCTCATGAAGTTCTATGAATAATATGATTGTAATGATTTGGACTACCAGTTTACTTTGACATTGCTATTGTTTACAGATTATAGTAGTGAATCGAAGTTGCTACAGAGTAAGATAAAACTCAACAGGTGAAGTGACGATAAAATGCAATGTTTGAGATCGATTGATTTTGTTAGTAATAACTCGACATGAGCTAAGGAATATTTGTAAAGAGTAGGAATATATGTTCCACTCAAAAGAATAGGAATACATGTAGTAACATAATTTATGCTCTGTTTGGTATGATGAAAAATTGAAATGATGGAAAGTTGGAAGGATGGAAAGTTAGAGGAATAAATAAAACATCATGTTTGATAAGGAAGGAAAATAGAAAGAATGGAAAAGTGGATGGATTAATTTTTCTTCCAACTCACCAAAATTAATCTCTCCAAAATCGAAAGGAAAGTAGATGAAAAGTTAATTATTTGTGTTGAAATGTATCTTATTTGTCTACTAGTCATTACCCGTATCTGAAAGTACTATACAACAAATAATTTTTTTTTAAACAATTGTCCAAATTCAAAAGAAATGACTTAAAAATATTCATACAAATTCTTCTTTTAAAATGGCTCAAAATATATTGTTGATTATATCCTCCATATTAATGGAGTTGTTATAAAAATATATAAAAACTCTCCAAAATAACACCATATATACAAATGCCTATGAAAAAAAAACTACTAACAGAATTCATTAAAATTTATAATTTTTAAGTAATAAATTAAATAAATAAAATATTGCTCTTTTATAAGACTCACGAATTATCACCTCTACTACCACTTCATCCAATAACACAACATAATTATCAACTCAACTACCATATTTTCAATCCACTCTATCTCCATGTAATAAATACCTCAAACAAAAAAATATATATACATTAACAGAATACAATTAAATTCACAATTTTTAAACGGTAAATAAAATCAACCAAATTTTGCTCATTTATAAACTCATAAATTTATCATCACTGTCACCATTTAACCCCAAATGACACAATATAATTATAAATTTAATCACTAAATGTTTAATCCTCCACATGTAAATATACACAAAAACATACTCACACATTTCTTTTTTGGTTACCAACAAACTCTTATAACCAATAATTGCTTTTATTAAAAATACAATAATTTAAGTTTTTAAGGTAAAATAATAATATATTAATGTTTAATTAAAAAATAGGGAAAAAAACTAAAAATCATGGATATTCCTTGAATTTTGGAAATATTACACAAACACCTCATGATATTTTATAAATAACACGAAGACCTCCTGAGGTTTGTTATTCATTGCACGGAGACCCCCTTTGTCTCCCTTTCGTCAATGTTGCAAATGAAAATTGATAATTTTATCTTAAAAAACTTTATTATTTTTACATTTGTTCTTCTCCAAATTTAGTACCAAAAAAATTAAAAATTTAATAAAATAAAATAAAAATTAATTTAATATTCAAAAAATTGATATAATTTAGTACTTCAAAAATTGATTAAATAAATTTTAATATTAATTTGATATTCGATAAAGTTGAATATAAATTAGAGAAAATTAAATGTCAATTTTTGATAAAAATATATATTAGTTTACAATCTAAGATTCATTTTATGTTAAATATTATTTGGTGTTTATAGTGAATGTGCTATTTTTTATTTACATTTAGTGTTATTTATAAATCAAGAAGTAAGTGACAAAATACATACGGTCAGATATATAAAAATTTTGAATTAGTTTCAAGGAATAAATAATTGGATGACATGTAGTTGCATATGTTTTATAGAGTAACTAACAGCAAAAACAACACAAGAGAGAAAAAAACAAAAAAAAAATAATAGTATGAGAGAGAGTGTGTGTGTAAGATAGATAGATAGATAAAGAGAATTATATGAGAGACTTAAAGTTGTAAAAAAAATGAAAGTCTAATTAGGACCATCAGATCAAAATAATCTGAGCCGCGAAAAGCTAAAGACAAATAATCTAACTATTTTTTTTTATAGATATATAGAGAGAGAGAGGAGATACGATAGTGTATTTAAGACGTCTAAGAGATAAGAGAGAGAGAGAGATAGAGTTATATGAGAGATATGAGTATTAGAATTAAGTTCAATTATAACCGTCAGATTAGTATTTATGAAATGACCTGAACTGTCTTTTATCTTGGGATTACGTTATTCGTTAGATATGTTTATGTTTTGTCTCAAAACGATCTGAACCTCTCTTTGTCTCTAGATTCAAACTCAGCTCTACTTTATTATATAAAAATATCTTTTGATATATACATATATTATGTATACATTAATTTCATATAAAAATACAATGATAAAATATATATGTGTGTGTATATATATATATATTAAAAAAAATTTAAAATTAAAAATTAAAATTTTAAATTAAAAAATATTTTTTTTCATCTTAACTAGGGGTGAAAATTTTTAACTTAAAACGATAACATAACTCGAGCTCGACACAGATTTATGAAACGAACTTGATTATAACTCGACACGAACTTGAAAATGATCTCACACGTGAACAAAAAATATAAAAGACTTATACTCAGTTCAACCAGTCAAACTCAAAATTGACACCATCAATTCACAACTCGACACGACACAATTAATTAAATGAGTTGAGTTAAATTTGATTAATATTTAACACAAACCTGTAATTACTCAATACAAATCTGATATGACATGACTTGATTGTCAACTCTAATCTTAGCCAGCTAAAAAAAAAAAATTTGTTATTTTTATTTTCCATCCATCCAACTAACCACAAATGAAGGAAAGTATATCATACCTACTTTTCTTCTTTGAAGGATAGAAAGTGTATCCATCATACTTTCTATCATTCCTACCAAACGGAGCATTATAAACCATTCAAACCTCTATAGCATAGCATTTGATCCATTTTCCAATGGCTAGTCTAAAACTTCTATTACTCCCAATTAACTTGTAATTATACCCACAAGTAACAAAATGTGACTTTTAGTATCAATTTTCCTCTAATATACTTTCTTTCAATTTCCTTAGATAGTAGACCAATCATCCTATATCAATGACAAACTTACTTGTAAATTGTGGGCCATTCTTGAATTCATTGTGACCTATACACCATGGACAAAATTTTAGAAAAAAAACAGGATATTAGAGATGATTTCACTTGAAAATAATGGTATTATTATGATCTAATTAATTGAGATTACGACAAAATAAATTTATTTATAATCGACATTAAAATGTGTTGGGAAACTAGAAGTCCATGATCCAAGGCCCAACATACATGTCTCAAACCCATAACCACCTAAATACTTAAGTCTATAAGTGGTTAATTAATTCATTGTATATTAGGACATTTTAAGTTATTTTTTTATCCGATGTGAAATTCTCATACATGTAATACCCGACAATCTCCCCTCATGTGTGAACCATGTCGGGTTTTAAGTTTGATCCACCACTCTTCACAAGCAATACATCCAACCATTACTTAGAAGAGTATGTTTCTCAAAAAACCAAACTTTTATCGTTCTTCATGAGTCACTATTCTGTCAAGAACCTTGTTCCCAATTCCCCACCCTGTTTTTTTTTTCTTTCTCGAGTTGCGCTTACATGACTTCAACACTTACAAGTCTATGACTTTTCTTAAAGAGCCATCACTTGTTCAATACCAATAGCCCATAACTTCAATACTAGGTGTTGTTGAGTTTGAATGTTTCATGTTATAATTTGATTCAAATTAAATCATAAATTCTCCAAATTAACTCACGATATACGTATCAATGAGTCTTTAGTCCAATAGTACTTCTTGCCTTAAGTCCAAATAAGTCTTCCAAAATAAGTCCAAATAAGTCTCTTTGATGGACTTAAGTCCAAATAAGTCTTCCAAAATTTTATCTTCCTAAGATTAAAAGGTCAAGTTCCCTTCCCCTCATCCTCCCACCTCACAAAAAAAAAGAGACTTACAGTGTATGAAAGCAATGATGTCCATAAATTTCTTTTTCCTCTTAAAGTTTTTCTTTTCTATCGTTTTCTCTTAACAAAAATTACGTGAGAGATAATGCCTAGTGTCGGTTTATTCTATTAATATATAATTTATTTATTTTTTTGGTGGGGGCAACGAGAATGTATAATATATATATATATTGGGATGACTAAACATTGAGTTAAAGATAGTTACAAAACACTACTCAGCAAATCACGTATCTTTTGAGATAGATGATTTTTATTTTTTTGTTATATCATATTATAGTCTTGACCCCCGATCAAACTACGAACACGAGTGGAGAAGCAGTTGATAGGGTAAGGGGTGAGGGCAGTTGGGTTGCCTTGCCTTTTCAATCAAATCTCCGGCCGCTTAGTTTTGCTATTGGTGCTAGTTTGTAAGGGAGTCAAACAGGGACGTCATTTCACTCTCCAACTAAATTATTTAGACTCATTAATTTAACATACGGTTTGTATTGGTCACCTTATTTACAAAAGAGTATAATAATAATTTAAATATTTTAAATTTTTTAACTACGATAAATTTATTTATTTATATTAATATTTCAATCATAATAAAAATATTAATTATATTTATCTTTTAACCATAATAAATATAAAATGTTGAATCCTAGTTTTTTCTAAATCCACACAGTATTACAAGTAGAAAGTTGAATTCTCAAATACAACAATGGTCAATATTTATTTAATTTTTATCTATTTTGATTCAATGACACAAAATTCATCCCCAAATTTATTTTTTTGCTTAAAAATATTATATTATTTATATAACATGTAATGTCAAACAACTCAACCAATACACTTCCCAATACCATACAACTTCATTAATCTATACCTATCCTCTTATTTTTTTTGTTCACTTTAATTTTAAATTACGTAATTAAAAAAAAAATTAATTTTTTATATTACATAGTGCATTAAGTTATGAGATTTTTGCTAAGTTAGCTAAGATTTTGAATTTTATCCCCAAAATATTTTTCTAATTCATTTATATCACATCATTCATTACTATCAGAAGTTGAATTATTATTTTTTTTTTATTAATTTGTAATCCAATTAAGTGTAAATGTGTTGATAATTTTTTGAGATAATGTATTTTGAAAAAAATTTGACATTTTTTCGATAATTCAATATTTAACCATTACACCACCTTTAAAGATTTTTTTTACTTATTTATATACTTATTCATTATTACTTAAATTTTTATTTGGAAATTACATATCCATGCCTAAAAATACATATTAAACTAAAATAATATTTGTAAGCTATAATAGTTATTTTAGGACCCTATAATCAATATATATTCAAAAATTAAATAGTTTATTACTTAATTGTGCATGAAATTTATTTTATTTTATTTTTATGAGTAAATTTGTGTCTATATGCATATAATATGATGTTATCAAAGTATTCTTATTTTTAATTTTTTTAAATTTTTTTTTTATCACTTTTACTCTCTCTTGGATATAAAAATTAGTTGAACAATCTAATTGATAAAAATAATATAATTTAAGAGTCACCTAATCTACATAGACAACTCAAGTAAAACAAAACAATGGTCAAACATATGATTTTTTACATGGGCCTGTTTGGTTAGGACGAAAAGAATGACGAGGAAACTCCCACAACCTTATCTGCTGAATTATTCTGTGGTTGTGAGCTTCTTGTCAATAGATTGAACTCCAAGAATAAGGGATGTCGGGACCTCAGTGCTGTGAGAACGCACCAAAACCCAGCTCAAGCTGTGGAGCAGGGCATGTGGAAGAATTTGGAGGCCTCAAATCTTACGTTTCTGGCCCTTCTGATTCCAAACTTGCTGTTATTCTCGTGTCTGACATTTTTGGTACTTACCCAGTTCAAAATTTATAATTAGGTCCATATTTGGTGTATAGTTCAGTTTTTTGATCTGGGTATTCCTGTATTTGGTGTCTAGTGGAGTCTCTTTGATCAATTTTGTTGGTATTTGATTGGTTATGAGTGTTGTTGATGGATAATTCAAGTAGCATTTGGTTAATTGATGCATGATTGTTTGTTATCGAAGGGATTAATGTCAATTTAAGGTTATTGTTTCGATGGTCTTTAGAAGTGCGTATTGTTTATTTGATTATTTCTGTTGCAATTTTGACGTGGAGTTCTTTTGATCAATTTGAATGCTATTTGATCTTTGTTTATGGATGATTTGATTGGTTCTTTGAGTGGCATTAGCATTGGGGTTACTGGTGATTATTTTTTTTTTTTTGGGTCAACTGTAAAGGGCCGTTGTTTTTGTGAGAAAATATGAAATCATCGGCACAAGAGGGGGTCAACCACCCTTAGAAACATCTCATCCCTCTTTGAAACTCATTCTGAGAATCTGAGTTGAGAACTGGTGATTGGTTAATGTTTATTGTTTCACTAAGGTTCATGATCAAGCGGTAATTATCTTTAATACTGCCAATAGCATGAGTGTTTGGTTAATTGATGCTTGTTTGTTATTACCAAGCAAACTGATCATCAATCCGTGATATCCATGTATAATTTATTGCATATTTTGGAGTTCATTGCTATTTATCAATTCTTAGAAGTGTTGTGGCTTTACTTTTGTGCCAGGGAAACATCTCCTTTTGTCTTTTTTATTTTTGTTGTCGTTTAAAAATGGTTTCTTGAAAGGAAAATAATTTTCTTCATTAAAAAATTGCTTCCGCATCCTTATTCTTGATAACTTCTGTTTTGTAATTATCCTTTTTCTTTATGAGAATTTGTTTCTGGTACGGTTTAGTTGGACTTGGAATGGAAAATGGACTTAAAGGAGGTTGTCAGTTGAATCATGTCTACTTGCTACTAATTGTCCTCATCACTGTCTCAATGCTAATTTTATGTATTGTTTGATGTTGCAGGTTATGAACCTCCAAACTTAAGGTATGATTCATCTCAACCCGCTTTGTGAGACAATATTACATTTTTCTTTTTCTTGTTGCTAGGATGTTCTTAAATGCTTTCCTTCTTTAAAGTATTGTGAGTTTAAATCTACCTAATCTATGGCTTTTTAGTCCTTTGGTGCTATGGTAAATTGAAAGCATGCTATTTAGATGCCATCAGAATAGAGCCATCCAATGTTTGCTTATGTCCTTAGTTCCAAATCTTAATACCTGATAGGAGTTAATAGAATCCCATTTTGTACTGTAATAGGAAGGAAAAATTTAAAGATAAATCATAGCCTTGGATGATTAGAAATATTCATCTATAATGCTTTTTCTTGTCACATTTTGATGTTCATGTTACTTATGCCAAGGCACGTATAATTCCATAGTTCTTTCTATGTTTTGAGTATCCAAATGTAGATATCATTCTGATGGACTTCTGGCATTGCCATTGTCAGAAAAATAATATTTGAAATTCACTAGAATATTTAAAATATTGCGGTTTATATCATTCCAGATGCTCTGTTTTTGATAGAGAAAAATGTCAGTTGGTCTTATGGCCTCCTCTGGGTTAGTATCATATTGTTCCAAAGTTTCTCATGACATAGAATAAGGGAACTCCTACCCACTTTTGAATTTGTTGGAAAACTAACTTGGAACAGAACTGCAGAAGTACTTAAGTTTGTATGGGACTGCATGCTTGCGCATTAATGAATGTGTAGTTGTATGTGTGCATGCAAGAATGTGCTCATACCTTAGTACATGCATGAGAATTCGTGTTTGTATGCGTATGTGCATGAGTGCATCTGGTGGAGGGGATACGTGACACATTGATAAGCCGGGGCGGAGCCATAAATTTAACGTAGTGGAACAAATTTTAACAATTAGAAGATACAAAAATTAAACTACTTATAAATTTAAAAACTTCAATATTGATTGTAAACATTTCTATTCAATACATTTACAATTGTTCCAGACTTGTTTTTAAAATTTTAAATATTACATGACAATCATTTGACCCGGAAATATTACGTGATAACTTTTTAATTTGGAAATATTACGTGACAATTTTTTTGATCAGGAAATATTACACGACAATCTCATTCCAAATTGGAGAGGTGATCAAGTAGATTTAGTGTATGAAATTTTTTTCATGGGGAAAATTTAAATATATATTAAAACCCATTTATTTTTTTATTTTTGCAAAACAAATTGAGTGGGGGAAGACAGTTGCCTCCATGGCCATGTAGCTCCACCCCTGCTAATGAGATTTGTTGGGATTTAACACGATTTAAATCCACTAACAAACACACACAATCGAAGAACAAATCAAGAATATAAAGCAATAAGAAACAAGAAAGAACGAGACACAGATTTTACGTGGTTCGGCAATTTGCCTACGTCCACGAAGCTGCAGGGATTTCACTATTGAGAGAGTTGAATACAGAGAGCGGCTGTACAATCCACAATTAACCCTAATCACCAAAACAACAGGGTTTATATGTCCAAAAATTTTTGGGTTTATAACAGGCCCAAAAATTTTTCCTCGGGGGCGTTGCCCCCGAACCCCCACGAGACTTGTCCATGAGCGCTATGGCTTGGGCCTATTGGCCCAAGCCTTCGCTCCATGGACTAAGCCTCAGAAAAATTTTCATTAAAAACCACACAACATTATTTCGAGTCAAGTCATCGTCCGGATCACATATACAAACTAGACTCCATAAAAAAAACCAACAAGATTTGGCAAGTTTAGCTGCTCAGCTTTTCAAACACCCTAAAAAGCTAGCTAAAATTTACCCAGTTCGTTGATTATGTTGGTTTTACAATCTCTTCACATGATTGTTAACCAACCTGATTTGCTTGAATCTGTGAAACAGGTTGCCATTTCACCATTGAAGAAGTGAAGTTTTTCGTTACTGAACAAGTTTTTTTGTTCAATACATTTTATTTAGTTTTTTCTCCAACTCTTTTGACCTTTAGGGCTGTTAAAATGGTACATTTCAGGGTTTGTATGTAATTTGTTTTTTAATTGGGGGGAGTGGGGGGAGAGAGATCCATCCAGTAAGAGTCTGCATTATGTAACTTGCCTAGTGATTTTTGGCATTTAGTGATTTGCATTTCATCCCCACTGTGAATTTTGTTAAATAGGTACCAAACTGTATTGTTAACATAACTAGGGTGGGTATGAACAAGACACTAAAGCATTTGTAGCCCTAGAAACCCATTTACATGTACACTTCTGGAAACTAATTTCACCAGCTTTCAACTATAAAGGAAGCTTGCAGACAAAGTTGCAGCTGCTGGATTTTTTGTAGTGGTCCCTGACTTCTTCCACGGAGATCCCTATGCCCCTGAAATTGCCGAGAGGCTTTTGCGAGGGTGGATACAAGATCATGGACCGGTTAGTTATTATCTTAATGCATGCCAATAATCAGTCACCGGGTCAAACTAAATTTCACGTTGTGGACTTTTGGGATCAGCTGGCCCATTCATATCTGTTTTCTGCTGAGAAGTGGGGACATTTCTTTAGCCTTTGAACCATACGGGACCAAGTGTGGGCCTTTTAGTTCTCGAACTACACTACAGTATTAAATAAGCAGTACGGAAAAAACTTTAGCCTCTTAAGCATTGCTGTTTCCATAGGATCAAGGGTTTGAAGATACAAAGCCAGTCATCGAAGCTCTGAAAAGCAAGGGAGTAACTAAGATCGGAGCTGCAGGCTTTTGTTGGGGAGGTGAATTTTTTTTCTCTGAAGTGCACTTTTGCAATAAGATATGCCTGCAACAAACAGTTACAAGGATATATTAATATATACTTTCGGCATCCTTGTTTGACTAAAATTCAATTTCTTGAATTCTTATCAGCCAAGGTGGTTGTGGAACTGGCAAAGTATGCTTATATCGATGCTGCAGTGATGTTACATCCTTCATTTGTCACTTTAGATGACATACATGGTATACTTCCTTTACCACACTAGGTCCAAGATAATTTTCTTATTTCCATTTGTTGAATCAAGAAATTGATTCAGGCACTTGAAGTAGGCCGCCTGAAACATTCTGTTGGCAAGTTGAAATGTTTCTTCAGTTTTCTTTTGAACACACAGGTCTAAATATTTGTCTCCATAATTTCCTTTTTTATCCTTCCTGACTCTTTCCTCGTGGGGATCATTACATCCTTCTTTAGTTTTCTGTTGGGTATGGAAAATTAGTAATTTGGTTATTTGTTGAGTCATTAACAGCTGGTTTGATTTTTAGGGGTGAAGGTTCCAATCTCAGTACTGGGAGCTGAAATCGACCAGACATCTCCACCGGAGCTCTTGAAGCTGTTTGAGGTGGCCCTAAATGCCAAGCCTGAGGTAGGAAATTTGAAAAACTTGAGCAAGCAATCTATTAATTACACAAAGATGTGTTTTGTGGGTGCATCCTGCCGACATAGAGTGCTCATCTTTTCTCTCCGTTTTAGTAGAATATTTGAATACCCCCAACAAAAAAAGAGAAAAAGAAACTGAAAGGAATGCTAAAATAAAGAAAAACTGGGAGGCGTTTCGTTTGGAGGTGTTGTTACATGCTAAATTAAATACAATTGGCACTGAAAGTCGGAAGGTGCTCACTCGACTGGTAGAATTAGGAGGAAGTGTAACATGCTTATCCACCCTCATTTTTCTTCTTTGTTTTTCTATGTTGAGAATTATCTATGCATATTCAAGTAATTTAAGTTTAAAATATTAATTTGAAACGAAACCCTGTACCCACCCCTTAATCTACAATGGCTTAACAAAATGCCAAGATTTGGAGTAAATTACAAAGGCAAACTAATCATCTGTCTATATATATTTGTCTATGTACATATCTAGCTATCTATTTTCTCGAGTGAGAGGGCTGCTGCATTTTAACATCACAAGCAACCATGTATCAGAAGATCTCTGATCTTCTCTCTAAACTTAGGGATCTTCTCTTTAAAATCCCACATTACCTGGAGGAGACTTGATTTCACCCAATATTCTTTCAGTTTTTCATATGCTTTCCTATCTTTGAGTCACATTCATATTTTCAATGTTGTTTTTTTTTGTCCCAACATTTTAAAATTTTTCCAATCGTGCTCCCAGATCATTTCCATATTTACTCTATAGCAACCCACATGTCAAAGTGACCTCAGATTTGTTTCTCTCTCTTTCTACTGTTTTCTTTACTGTTATCTCTTCCATTAATTATGTTCTACCAAATTTTATCGTTGCATTACAAACATTGCACAGGCTTCCTGCTGGTTGATGATGATATGGGACTCATCGTGACCAACATCAATCTTGCCTTACTCACAAATCACTGATTTTATTGATATCCTCCTGTATATTATGGCATTTATTGTTGGAAATACTTAGAAAGGTAATCGCCTGTTGTGTAAGTTGGCATCTGATATAAATTTGTTTATTTTTTATGTCTTGCATCTATAGTTGTTTTGCACTTGGCATATTGTGGTCAACCAGATTTAGTTATAACTAGGTAAGTGATCTACTGCCACAGCAGTTAACTAATTGTCTATTCATTAGGTTGATGGCTTTGTGAAGATATTTCCGGGGGTTGCACATGGTTGGACTGTCAGGTACAAGGATGGAGATGAAGTGGCTGTAAAGTGTGCCGAGGAGGCACACTGCGACATGTTGGATTGGTTTGCTAAGTATCTAAAGTAAGAACACTATTAAACTGTATGATGATATCATGGCCTATACCTTGCCCAGAAAGGGCTTGCAGAGATGTGTTGGATTGGTTTATGATGTATCTTTAAGTTAGATATTATCAGATTATGGAACTACTAGTGTGAAATAGCTTGTTTTTACTCTAATAAGAGGTGGGAGCATTGTTACCCTCATGAAGTTCTATGATAAATATGATTGAAATGATTTGGACTACCGGTTTACTTTGACATTGCTAAGTTCCTACAGAGTAAGAGTAAGATAAAACTCAACAGTGTGAAGTGACGATAAAATGGAATGTTTGAGATCGATTGATGTTGTTAGTAATAACTCGACATGAGCTAAGGAATACTAGTAAAGAGTAGGAATATATGTTACACTCAAAAGAATAGGAATATATGTAGTGTAACTCTCTAGCCTACCAATTGTCAGAGCTGGAGTGTTATAGAGGTAAATCAACACAACTCTTTTTCGAAAAAAACAAAAGAATGAAAAAGTATTTTAACCTACAACATATGGTTTCTAATTTTTCGAAAAACTTAGGAAGGGTACGCCTACATAATTTACACATATTTATAGTTATTAATGGTATAATAAAGGGTATTTCCCAACAAAAAAAATTGTGTGGGTGGGGGGGTTTTTTTTTTTTTTTTGGGGGGGGGGGGGGGGGGGGTTGGCCAAAAGGTTAAAAAAACAAATGGTAGCAGACGAAAGGAAATGGCTTCTTGTCCAGGGGTTTTTGTCAATGTTTTGTTGCTGTCTGTCTGGTGGGTTTCTTCTCATCACCACTCAACATGTTCAAGAGGGCCCCCTTCAAAAAATCAAAATAAACAAAATGAAAGTTTATCATAATGGAAAAACATGGATCAAGCATGAAATCCATCTCTTGCACAAATGATTAAATAAACCTTAGAAGAGATGAAAAGTAAGGTGAGTCTTCCATGAGCATGCAACTTTTTGGTACCCACAAAAAATGGTTTTGTTATCTCATCGAAAATGATTAGTATCTGTAAATTGTGATTTGATGCATTTTGTAGTAATTAATTATGACAATAATAAATTAAAGTACAATGATCATGCACGTTTTTGTTGAGAAAGAAAAGAGAGATGGTATAAATAATTTTCGATATTATAATTTGACTCCAAAATTTGAAAGTCATGAATGTGGGAACGTTTGTCTACTTTCTTTCTCGTAAAGAAAATTGTGACAACAACAGTTAACCGTGCCCGTGTGACAAATATTGCTTTTAAGAGACATTAATTCAAACAGCTATGGGGTTCAAAACTTGTGGACCCCCAACATTTGAATAAACAAATGGAAGATTATCATAATGGAAAAACGGGAATTAAAAGCATTAAAGCCAGCTTGCTAAAGATGATTACATAAACTTCAACTTGCTAATAAAATAGCTCAAGTGATAGCAGAAATGAACTGTAAATTCGACCAGCTTAAGTTTGAATCTTGAAAATTCGTTGGGGTCAAACCATGAGAGATTTATTCCTCATGAATATCTTAGTCCCAACAATGATGACTTGTTAAAAATAATTACTGGGGAGGAAATTTATCGTAATGTATATAAACTGATTCAGACACCACTTACGTTTAAAAAAAAAATGATTACATAGACTTAAGAAAGTATTCCTCCACCAACGTACTTACTTTTTAAGGTCATGAATGTGGGAATTTTTTACTACCTCCTTTCTTGTAAAGAGAATGTGATTTGTGATGGCAGCACTTTACGTTGTGACTAATTGTGATCCTAAGAGACATTCAATCAAACAGGCTTGGGGTGGTCCAAAACTAGTTGGATCACCTGTGAATTAGTTTGTGTTATGCAGTTAGATTAGCTTGGGACCGGTCGTAAATTTAAATCCACCTTAAAACCAAAAGTTGTTTATTGGCAAAGAATGTTCTCCACAGAGAGAGAGAAGAAAGAAAGAAAAAGAAGGGGGGGGTTTGCTGGTGCCACCAATGGATGGCCAAGACTTGTCTAAGATACAGCTTAATGGACACAAAAGGTTTTGGCATTTGCTTTTGCTTTTGCAGTGTCATTATCATTCACGCGGTGGCCTAGCTGCCTCCCCTCCTGGCCTCCAAGGCAAGTGGCGAGCACCGCGACTCGGTCAGCATTTTTAGTGTCGGCTGATGTAAGTGCCTATTAATAAGTAAATAAATACACAAATGAGTCATATAAACTACTTACAACACCTTTTAATTGTATTTAATTTTACTTTTAGTCATTTATTATTCATGTCAATTAATCATGTTAATTTTGAATTTCGTGTCAAATTAAGTTCATATCTCATCTCGATAAATAAAATTGACACTCCTAATATAAGTGACCATGAATCACTAATTCGACATTAAATTTTGTTTCATTCATTCCCTATTTATTTATAATCTTTTGTATTCAAATTCGTGTCACTAGAAACACGTGTCGTACATAAATTATTCTTAACTAAATTCATATTATATTTAAAAAATTTAGCAAATAATATAAAATTATGATAGTTGAAAACACAATTTAGAGAGAATGACATTTTGTATATTTTTAAAGATTAAATGTTTTAGATTATACCTTTAATTTATTAAAAATATTATAATATAACTTTTCTGTTAATTTCTATTACTTATTCCGTAGATGTTAATGGAAAAATTCTAACACTGACATGTTGATATAAATCCGACACGACACGATTATAAAATTAACACAATTATTAAATATATATAACAAATAATTTAAATTAATATTTGATACTTAGAACATATTTTTTCTTGATCTTACCCCGAACACCACATAAATAACAATAATATAATACAAAAATACTGACGCGTAGGTTACAGGATAGGAGACAAGACACGAATTAACACCCCTTTCAGAGTGTAAAATGAGATTCTAAGATACAGAATGAATTACTCCATAGTTAAAGGGATTAAAGTATAATTTTCCATGACTATGGTTTAAACTTTTGGTAATTGCAGTGCGTGTGGATGGAAAAATTTAGGGTAAATTATACGGACACCCCTAATATTTGAATTTATTATACAGACACTCCCTCACATTTTAAAAACTACATTGAAACCCTAATAAATAGATGTCGTTAACAGTATTAGCAAAAGACTATTTTACCCGGTTAAAAAATTAGCAAACTGAGACATATCACCCTCTTTCCATCTCTCTCGCTAAAAGCCCCCAACACCCAGCGACGCAGTCCTCCACCAACCCACCTTCATACCATTGTTACCAACATCCAATACCACCACGGTCGCCGAAAATCCAAACGCACTGGAGAGAGACCTACAACAGATCGCCTCAACCATCCAAAACCCACCGTGGACACCACCGCCTCTACCAATCCGAAACCCATCGCCAACATCACCGTTCACGGTCACCACCATCACCGCATCCGTCCCCCAAACCTTGTCACCACAAAAATCTGAGAGAGAGAGAGAAAGAGAACACTGCGGAACTTTGACAGAGGGGGAGATCCGAAGGCTAGATATGAGGACATCGAATTAGCTGTGTGTTTGGTGTTGGTGTTACAGTTGTGGCCGTTGGGTGATGTGTGTTGTGTGCGTATGTTGTGATGTTTGGGTTCGATTTTGATTTCCACTAGTGAGTTGTCGATATGTAGTTCAATGAAGAGGTCGTTGGTTTTGGAGGTGATGACGGAAGAAGATTGTGTTGGCGGTGTAGTGGTCGCAACAGAGAAGTGTAAAAGCACACACACACAGAAAGAGAGAGACAGAGAGATGACGGGGTGGGCGGCGGCGGTGAGGAAGAGGCGGTGTTGGGAGTTGTATCACAAAAAAGGGGTTTGTGGGTGTTTGACAAATTTTGAACATTTTTTTTTTGTAAATTCATTAGTAATTAATTGAAAGTGAATAATTAGTTGATATTACTAATGAAAATGAATAATTAATTGAGGGGTTGATGATATTGGTAATTTATAAATTATTTGGAATTAGATAATAATTTAATTTTAATTAGTTATTTACTGTATTTTGTGATTTTTTGATTATTAGAATTTAAATAAAAAAATTTAAAGAGTTTCAAAATTATAATTAGTGTGATTATAATTAATTATTTAAAAATTGTAAGGTGAGAGGGTATTATTGTCCTTTCACATTTAGTTAATGGATTAATATAATCTTTTACTTGGCTGAAGGGTATTTCTTTCTGTACTTGTTTAGATGTCTGTTATACGGAAGGGGTGTCAGTGTCACTATCACGCGCGTTCAAATATTAAAGGGTCTCAGTATAGTTTTTAAAATGTGAGGGGTGTATGTATAATAAAACCAAATATCAGGGCGTCTGAATATAATTTACCCAAAATTTATTAACTATTTGGTCCCCTTCCTCATCTCTCTCCCTCTGTCTCTCTCTCTCAACTCCAACCTGTAAGAAGCTTATCGTACTGTCACACATTGGACTTTCCTCTTTCTCATCCCTTCTCAAGGTCCAATTCCAAAGAAACTCATCTCCTTTTAAACCATTGTTGTGCTAATTTATCTCTGTAATATCTTTGTTCCAGATTATTTTACAGTAGACACTTTGTGTTGTTCGAGATTATCGACATTTCATATAGATCATCTACTAGATTAGCGGACCAACTTATGAAATTCTAATTTCTAGCTATATCTCACAGAGGGTTTCCCTCAGTTTTTTAATAACGCTTCTGTTCTTTCATTTCAGTTAAAATCTCTGAATCTAAGAAATCATAGTTTCTGTTTTTTTCCCTTGAAAATTGTTTATTTACAGTTCCTGAACTCAACAGTTTTATGCTCTCTCTCTCTCTCTAATTTGGATACAAAGTTGGGGTATTTACTTCAACTCTTTTTCTGGGTTTGGCTGTAAATTGAAGCATTCGTGCCACTTTGATCTTCTCGACTTACTTTGTTAGGTTGGGTTTGATCTTGTGACCTGAAAAACTTTATTTTTCGTTGGTTTTGAGGTAAAACTCAACTTTGTTATTCTCCTGCTGTGATCTATTGCGGGTTGAAATCTATTTTGGATCTGTTGAGTTGGGTGGTCTTGATGCTTTGTTCCTAAGATGCAGCCTGATCAGAGAAGAAAGGTACTTCTCCTCATTCCACACACACAGAGCAAAAACACACAAGAGAACCCATTTATATGTTTGTTTTGTGTAATATAAATGCCTCTGTATATCTATATTGGTTGATTATAGTTGAAGTTGATAGTTCAAGATCTCAATTACTAGTAAATAAAGATGTGTATGTTTTTGTACATGGCTTATTTTTGGGATGCAATTGCACCTCATTCTGGCCCTCTTATTGTCTCTGCTGATGTGCCACATGATTATGTTTCCTTGAAATTTAATGCCATGGAAGCACATGTCGAATTGAATATGCATGATTTTGTGTTCAGGAATTACTTCTATACTATGGCTCTCCTCAACAACTTACTGGCCTAAGAATTAAAGCTGTTAATTAGGAGGATCTTATATTTATTGGTTCTAGTTTTATCGGGTGCTTGTTGTTTCTTTATGTTAAGTATCTAATCTATGTGTAGTATCTGTTGAACAATCTAAAGAAATACAAGAGATAAGAAAAGAGGAGGCTAGGATTTTATTGATACTGCATAATTGAATTGAAAAATACAATGAACTAATTTAACCTAAATACAAAGAGACTATATATAAGCTAAACAAGGCAGGGAAAGTAAAGGACTATTCTACCCTTAATAAACAAAATAACTCTATATTTCTTAACAGTATCCACTACCTTGTCCATGTCAGACCCTTCAATCACAATGTCCCGCATAGAAAATGTGTGCACTCTTTTTGAAAAATTAACAGTGATGTTTTTTGTACAAATGGATGAACATATATGCTTTTTACATTTCCTTTTTGGTGAAGTAGTGAAGATAAGTCTCACTGTGATTTTGGTGTTAAATAAGCCTTACAGAGCAAGCAAACAAATTTCCATACCATATCTGTTGAATATCTACCTGAGTTGGAAAAGTAAGCTACTGGAATATATAGTGCAATTTCTAGTGAATAGTTTTGTTGATGTTGCCGCATGGAGTTCGACAACTGAATGAAATGTTAATGTTTTCAATTTTTTGTGGCAATAGCAGTGACAGAAAAAAAAATTACATGTAGCTTTTTGGTTGTGATAACAGGTCAGATTATGCAAAGCCAATATTAAAAAATTACTGCAGCCTTGCTAAAAGTGGCAATGGAGTGTATTCAAAAGGTTTAATATGTTATTAGCCACTTTGACCAATGTTTGTAGACCCATTTTGAGATTACAATGTTAATATCTGATGGTATGAAGCATCATTACTTATGAAGCCCACATAATGCACAGAATGTGGTCCTGAAGTATTTCTGGACGAAAACATTACTTTTCTCTCACCTTTCTCTGAACTACTTTAAACTAGAAAGACATGTTGATAACTTGGCATGTTACAATGTGACGATTCAGGGCTCTGCAGATGTAGACTTTTTTACGGAATATGGTGAGGGGAGCAGGTATAGAATAGAGGAAGTGATCGGTAAAGGAAGCTATGGTGTTGTCTGTTCTGCATATGATACTTATCTTGGAGAAAAAGTCGCGATTAAAAAGATCAATGATATTTTTGAACATGTTTCTGATGCCACCCGCATTCTTCGTGAGATAAAGCTTCTTAGGCTTCTTCGTCATCCTGATATTGTGGAAATCAAGCATATCTTATTGCCTCCTTCCAGACGGGAATTCAAGGACATATACGTGGTTTTTGAATTAATGGAATCTGATTTGCACCAGGTTATTAAAGCAAATGATGATTTGACACGGGAACATTATCAATTCTTTCTTTATCAGCTTCTTCGAGGCTTAAAGTACATACACTCAGGTTATTTGTTGCCAAGTTCTTGCAATATAATTTTATAGCTTCCTTCTATTACCTGATTGAGGATTACTACTTCGCACAACTACTGTGTTGGATGTGTTAATATATGTGTTACTTCATATAGTTGCTTACTTGTTATGATTATTCTCATTCTTATTTTTATAGGTTTTTATGTATTATTTTGCAGCAAATGTATTTCATCGAGATTTAAAGCCCAAAAATATTTTGGCAAATGCCGACTGCAAACTCAAGATCTGTGACTTTGGCCTTGCAAGAGTGGCCTTTCATGATACCCCTACTGCTATATTTTGGACTGTATGTTCTTCCCATCCTACTTCAGCAATTAATTTTACTGCAGTGGAGCCCTCTTTGTTTATGACATTACAGAAGACAGTTGATAATAGTTCTATGGTTAATATTTTCATTTGTCATGCTTATAGGATTATGTTGCAACAAGATGGTACAGGGCTCCTGAGTTGTGTGGATCTTTTTTCTCTAAGGTGCAATGGTCATCTCCACTTTTTGTTTCCTAAGAAGTGTTTGAATTCTTTCGCTGTCTAATCTATCCTTGCGGCTGAATTGAATATTGTATCACTTATCAATTTATCGTACATGGTGGTGGTAAATGTTGTGTTCTAACTCACATTCACTTTATATAATATTTTCAGTACACCCCTGCAATAGATATATGGAGCATCGGTTGCATATTTGCAGAAATTTTGACGGGAAAACCTCTCTTTCCTGGAAAGAATGTAGTTCACCAATTGGACCTCATGACTGATCTGTTGGGAACACCATCTCCTGAAGCAATTGCCAGGGTCTGTTTACAGTGTAAAGAATTTGTCATGATGGAAAATTTGTTATTGTGTGTTTACTTTAATTGTATTGTATGTGTCCATCTATTAAGCAAGTGTGTTTGCTCAACCAACCACTGATCTCATGCCTACAGATAAGAAATGAAAAGGCTCGAAGATACTTAAGCAGTGCGCGGAAGAAAAAGCCCATTCCTTTCTCCCAAAAGTTTCCAAATGCAGATCCCCTTGCACTTCGTTTGTTGGAAAGAATGATAGCATTTGAGCCCAAGGATCGACCCACTGCTGAAGAGGTATAATGGGTATGACTTAGGATTGATGCTTATGCAATGTATGTCCTACTTCTAAAAGAGCATATTGTATTGCAAGCTGGCAGGCTCTTGCAGATCCGTATTTCAGGAACTTGGCCAATGTTGAGAGAGAGCCTTCAGCTCAACCAGTTACAAAAATTGAATTTGACTTCGAAAGGAGGAGGACAACAAAGGAAGATGTAAGAGAGTTTATATATCAAGAGATTCTCGAATATCATCCAAAGATGTTGCAAGAGTACTTAGAAGGAACAGAACCAACAAACTTCATGTATCCAAGGTACTTTATTTAGATATGAGATTGATCTGTTTCTACTAAAATCTTGCTATGTATGCTGATGCCCTTGTCATGCTATCACACTTCACTTTTGCTGTAGAAATGTCAGTATCTCAACTAAGTATTTATTTTCTGGTTAAGTCGTTCTTTTATCAGCCAGTTTTTCTTCCTGATGACACAACCACTGAATCTTTTCTTCTTCATTTCCTTTTTGTTTACAGTGCTGTTGACAAATTTAAGAAACAATTTGCTTACCTTGAGGAGCATTATGGAAATGGTGGTGCTGTTGCCCCACCTGAGAGGCAACATGCATCATCTTTACCCAGGTAGCCTTCAGAGAGTGTTCTTCTCATGCTGCTTGTTTCAAATACCACTAACACAAACGACTGCTAATTATATATGTACCCTCTCACTTTTGAATCATCTAGACCATTGATAGTAGTTTTTGGATGCAGGGCATGTGTCCTATATTCAGACAATTCAACACCGAATTCAGCTGAAGTCACAAATGATCTCTCTAAATGCACTATCAAAGAAGCTCAGAAGAAAAATGTGGACAGGACTTCAGGGATCCCTCTAACTAGTCTTCCTCTCCAAGTTCCTCAAAGCATTCAAGGTGTGACTTCTGTTTACCATCATCATCTATTGTCACTCAAGTTTATTCTCAAAGCGTATTATTGCACTTTTACTGAAAAAAAAAGTACTATTATAATTGAGTATACCTATCTGGAGTATAATAGTCTCTTCATTATTTCACTATGTGTGTGTGAGAGAGAGAGAGGTAAAGTTAAGAATCCCATCTCACACATTCTTCTCTACAGTTATTCGTATTATTTACCCTACGTCTTTCATCTATCTTCGTTGTATTATGATTGCAATGTGCTCTTCTCAATTGGAGTTACTTTTTCTGATTGTGTGAAGTGCTTCTCAAAAGGATTATCCAATATTTCTTGCTTGAGACACGTCTCTCTCTTGTTAAACAACCATCTTCTCCAAAAACTTAAGTTTTTAGGGTGGGTGTGACTTGAGCTATTAGGGAGAGTATGTAGGTTAGATTTTGAGTGTAGTACGTAAAAATCTTTTTAATAATTAGGGTGGCGGCAAGATTTGAACACAGGACTTCCTGCATTAATACCATATTAAACAATTCTTTACTCCAAAAGTTTTAAGTATTGTAAATGAATTTATAATTAGTTGGAAAATCAATATACGATATGAATTTCTAGAACGCCAGTGAAAGGGCGGATGAGGTTTTTATAGTTGAACTTCTGGCAAAATCATAATTATTAACAAATAATAAAAAAAAAATCATCATTATAATAATACCTCATATGGTTGCAAGTCTTAAGAACTGCGTATAAGTCAATGCATTTATTCAGATCGGGGAGAGAGAGAGAGGGAATGATAGGATGGATTTAGAGAAGTATCTTTTCATCCTTCCCCTTGGGTTTAAAAATTTACTAACACTTTTTTCTACTTGATCATTCTGTTGTCTTCTTGTCATCATTATATGTACATATATATAATATCCGTACTTTTTGGAAATTCTGGAGTTGTTGACTTAGAGAGTTGAATTGATATCTATCTAGTATAGAAACTTAGAAAGCCAGTGGTTTTATTTTTCAGGTAATGACGTAATGTACACAGCCCATATATTCATGAATAAAATTGGAATTTAAAGAACCAACGACACAGGGGCATCCAGTAACAACTGGGGGCCCTAACTGATTTTTCAACAGTTTGGGAACTACCAATCCAGTCCCCTCTTGCCAAAACTAATTCTGGTTGCAGCCCCTCCCTCTCGGTCCATGCGTGCTGGTCAGGGCCAGAGCTAGGATTTCCCATTAGAGGGGGCAAACTATTACAGAAAAAAATTTCACCAGTTTATACAAGACATTTCCAAGCATGAAAAAATATTTTAGGATTCAACACTAGATTACTATTAAAACAGTAAAACCAGCTTCTATTTAAATTAAAAAAAGTATAAAAACAAACCATAAAATAACTTATGGTATTACATTTCAACTCAATCACATACTAAAGTAGAATACGATGTTATTTCAAATCTCAAAATTTGTCTATAATGTATTGGTGATAAACTAAATTTTTAAAAATTCTCTTCAATAGACAAAACCACATTACCCATGACAAAATCATTATTTATTTTATATTGCGAAAACTAGTTGAAATCATCATTTATTTTGTTGATTTACTCAATCCAGAAACTAAAACATTGATTTTTTTTTTTGGAGAGGAGGGTGGGAAGCAATGGGCCACTAACTTGCCAAAAATTAAAAATAAGTTTAGGACCGTTGTAAACATTTTCCAAAATTAAGGGGGGCAAATGTATTAAAATAACTAATCTATCGGCCCTTAATAATACATCAATAATAAAATTGAAAAACTCGGGGGGGAAGAGAGAAGTGCCCACCCTCCTCCCAATGTGGCTCCGCCTTTGGTGCCGGTGCATCTGCATGTTCACCTCATCTTTGCCTGGTATCCTAATTGTACCACATAAAAGTTATTCTTAACACTTTTTGATCAGTTTTGTTAGACAATATTAGCTTATTTAAGTTTGAACATTTTTTTATATGCATATAGAGTGCTTGATTATACTTTTAAGAGGTAAAATAACCTATCCCTTCTGCATTTTTGTGGGCCGCCTCATGCTCTTGGTACCTAATCCCAGCATGAGGCAGTTAATCCACATCTGATGAATTTACTGCCTCATGCTTCATCCTCTTGGTACCTATGATAATTAGCGCCTTTTTCAGCTGGAGTCCCTCCAAGGCCTGGGAAAATTGTTGGTTCGGTATTGCGGCACAACAACTGTGGAGCAGCTGCTATTGAACAGCGAAGAATGGTAAAGAATCCAGCTGTTCCAGCTCAGTATGCTGTTGCTAGCTCTTCATACCCCAGAAGAAACACGGGCTGTAAAAACGACAGGGGAGAAGATGGCAGTGGAGGATCCAATGGGCTGCAGCCTAAACCTGATCAATACATGGCAAGAAAATTGGCTGCTGCTCAAGGTGGGTCTGCAAACCAATGGTATTGACTCCATTATGATTCTTCTGGTGAAAGTTGTTGGCTCAGCTTTGCAAACTCCATGGGCAACTTAATGGTGGGGCACCGGAGGTCCCCATGTAAGGTTGATTGGCTTCTAACAGTAAATTCATCGCATGTGAGTGACAGATTTCAAGTTGCTAGCTTATAGGCATGGGCGTTCGAAGTTACCGAAACTTTGTGACTTTTGCTGCTAAAACATAGTTAATCTCAAGTGTAGAAGACACTGTTGGGTTCCTGCTCACGACTGCTGTTATTCTTTGATCCAAGATCAAAGACACGATGATTTGGGGGAGGTGATAATTTCAAACCAAGGATTAGTGGAACTAATATTTTTCACTCATTCTTTCTGTTTCTTTTCCATTCTTTGCATAACAGATGCAAGGTAAAAATTTCTCAATAATTTCCTAGGAATTTAGAAAGTGATTTTATATCTCCTCACCTATATTATTCTACAACTGGCCATTCCTCCAATTCCAATTGCAAACTTGGACAAGAAATTGTGTAGAAATGACTTCTCCGACAATTACCTTTGGTGTAATAACATATTTGCTACTTCTATAAGTTATATACTCATATATTAGTGGGTTTATTTGAAATGTACAGTTCTGCTTTTGCTAATGTGAGGCTGGCTGGCCATGCTAAAAAGTAGTACATTTTTTGCTATATTTGTCATGATAAGAGAGATTGGTGCCAGGCAAATCACACGACTGGTTACACTCAAGACCCCATGTCAATCGCCGAGTGAGATGGATACCCAACCACCAGGCTCATAGTTCAAAGTATCAACATATATTGATACAAGTCGAATGAGTCATATTTGATTTGACATTTGCTAAAACGATATCGTTACACAATATACACAAATTTTGAGTCTTATACGACTTGACCAAGTCATTCGAGTTATATTTGAATCAATCCTGAATTACCGAGTTGTTGTCAGCAAATTAATTGATACAGTTCTGCGATATTACAGTATAACCTGAATCTCTTGTTATATTTAATATTTTTTTTTAAGTCGTATCACCTGATACCGCACTGCGGTAGATGTGTTCCAAAACTCTCAAAATTGATGACCGATATCACGACTTTGAACCATAACTGGGCTATCTACTTGGTAGTTGCACTAATTTTGTCGAGTTCACAACATTTGATTGAACTCAATTTTCTTTCAAACCGATAAGGCCACATTCGTGGTAACTTGGTCATTGGAACCTATCCCCCACACATAATCTAACAAGCTTAAAAAGAATCATCAAAAGATACAGCAGCAGGTGGGTTCATTATCTGCAGGCAATTGGTACAAACATAGGATTAAACCCATGTGGTATTTAAATCTCAAAGAAAATTACAGTAAATATCATAGTCGATAAGGTTTTTATGTGGCGAAAACACAGTACAAACCACTAAGTATACCTATTAAGAAAGACTTACATACATATATACCATGAACCTCATTTTCCATATAAATTGAAGTGTGAGTACAATAGTAGAATGTCTTGATCCTAAAAAATATTAAATCATGGCCAAAGAAGGGAAGTGAACATCAGGTTCCTAAATCAGTATACCCTTTGCTTCACCCGTCTCCCATTCACTTCACTGCCATCGACAGCTTTCTCACTCCCGTATCCATAAGAAGTTACTGAATGTTTGCCAATCAAAGCTACGTATTCCAGCAATTCAGTGATGACAGAAGGGCAGCTTTCCTTCAGGTATTGAAAACCTTCTGTTTGCATCACAGCTGAAAATATAACACCAGCAGTTATCACTTCATGACTTCTTCAAAGTGGAATATATACAAAATAAACTTTCGGAATGAAGCTTACTACTAGTCACTGTTCTCAGAATTGAACAAGAATTAGATAAAGGAAAATCATAATGTAAAAAGATTGCTTGTTACAAATAAATGTATAAAGCAAATATTTTCAGTAAATCGCCACAAACCAAAAAGAAGCCATTTCTTGTACATATGTGTTCAAAATATCGTCACAATGCAGACATGGGCAGAGAGCTCTCAGGATTCTACCCAAAGGCCACCCTTTAGGCTCATTTAATTGGACATTGAGATGAGTCCTGTGCAGTTGTGAATAAACCCTGCAGTAATTTCTGCCACAGTTGGACCAACAGCGCCTAACACAAAATAACGTGAGCATGAAGTACAAAACAAGAACTATGGTAGAAGCAAGACAGCTAAAAAGATACATGATACTTGCAAAGGATAAATATCCTCGGATGATATTTTATCATGATATAAAGGTGTGTATTCCATGCTGCTCTTAAAATAAGCTTTGAACACATACCTTTGGCTGAGGGCCTTTCTAACAGTTCAGATAACCAGAAAAGTAAAGCTTTCTGCAAAACAAGAGGAAAGTTGAATAATTTTACCTTTCAAATTTTCAGGCTGTGCCACGAATTTAAGACAAACAGATTTCAGTGGAAAACAGTGATGCTGTTCTGCCAAAGCTAAAGTCGTGCCTACAGTGTTAATGGCAACATCCTCACAAAGTTTAGCCTCACAAAGCAATCTGAGCCTCTCAAGCCCATATCGGTCTGCTGCTGCAAGCAGATGCTGAGACATCAGTGTAGAAGCCCATTTTGAACCCAGACCCACAATCTCTTGCATGTCCGGTAGGCCATCCCAATATATAAAATGGAGCAATGCCTGCAACCAATCACCGAAGGGGAGCAATTATTGGTTATAATATGTAATGTTGCTCTGGTTTAAGAATCATATATAACTTAAGAAAAACTTGGAGCACTTTAGGATAAGTTTCAAAAAGAAAGGAGTTTTAGGAGGGAGGGAGGGAGGGGGGGGGGGGGTTGGCAAAGAACTTGATGATACTAGATAACTAAAAATATGCAGATAAATGTTAAAAAGCAGAATGAAAGAACAAAGTGAAAGCACAGCAAAGCGTAGCTTCAGTTTGACTTGCTTGACAAGATCAGTTACTTCTGGCAGCTCAATTAGCTGCGAGGTGAATGGATCTGCTAGACCATCCACACTGATTGCATATGCTGAACTTTTAAGCCAATTTAACCCTCAATCAAGCATACCCGGCAAGATCAAAAAACCTTCCAACAAGCTCTAAACAGAGTAAATTTAGTTAATCTCAGAATAATTGTGATTTTCATCACGAGGAGATGGTGTCTTTATTTAGAGAAAAAGAATTCTTAGATAGATCATAAGTAAATCTTTAGCTGCAAGAAGGACATAAACATTCATTAATTCAACAGAATGGACCATCACATTCTATTTGCAGATGCTTGTTTTCCGCACGAGTTCATGTATGATGCAGATAAAATTTTATTGAATTCTATTCAAATAGCAACTCTACACCATACCCAAAACTGAGGTACGGAGGAAGAAAAGAGAGGAGGGGGGAGGAATAAGCACACATATTTGCATGCTTCTAAGATGAAAAGAATAAACTAAGATTGCATATTTCAGGGATCCTCTAGAGACTTATGCTAAGGTAATTTTGAAGCAACTCCAGACTTTAAAAAAGGCATAATGGAAAAAAAAAATTATGCTTTGGACACTGAGCAGGGCTTCATTCAGCATATAACCCACCAGAGTTAAAGAAGTCCTTTTTGCACAGCCTCATGATGCATATACACATAAAGAGTATATTGCAAAAAGAAAACAGCCAATGTCCAATAAACAATACAACCACAGGGATTCAGTTAACAGCCAAGGTCCAGAATATAGAGGCCCAACAAGACTCAATCCAATAACCACCTGAAAAGGTCAAGGACATATTCTTAAGAGATATTCATAGGAGTTCAGGAAAAGAGCCAGAAAGAAGACATCTCTAAAAATTCAGGCAGGGCAAGATAGTTTCCTCGAAATATCTTTTCATCCACTTATTCCACACTGGAAAAAGAAGGCAAAGCTACAATCCAAAGAGTTTAATATGTTTCCTTATTTAGACCACTGATTGCTGAATAAATCTAACCTGACTAGCACGACCTAAGAAATCTCTGAAACTGTAGGTCCCAAAATCTAAACTCTCAAGTCAAGGAAAGCATCTTACTTGCTACACTTCCCACCCATGACATGATCTAATTGAACTCCTTTCAATAAAATCAAAGATTTTATAGCATATCTCTATATGTTGGCACTTATATGACATAGATAGATAGGAAATAAAATCATATCAAAGACCCAGAGATAAAGATTACCAAACCTTAAAAACTGAAACCTCCATTTCATCAACTTTAATCCACTGTGTGTTTTGATCCTTCAGTGGACCAAATAGCTGTGCCCTGAACACCGGCGAGCGGGCTGCAAGGACCAACTTGTGGGCAGCAAATATTTCCCCATCGACCTCAAAACGTACATCAGTTCCCTCTCCAGTTTCTAAAAGCTGCCCAAAGTGCTGTCCAATATCAGATGGCGGTGAAGATATGGAATAAATCTTAGGGCCCTCCGTATGTGACCTAACAACACCAACAGTGCATTGAATAGAAAGGCAATCATCTTTAAGGTAGTCTGATGTCTCTAGGAGAGTTCTTTTGAAAAATCGTTTATAACCCCTGCCAATGTCAAATGCATCCACCAATTTTTTATGGTGGTTGCCATCAATAAAGAGTTCTATCAATAGTTGTGCTGAAACAAAAACTTTAAGCCATTAAATGAGATAATCGAGGGGTGTAACAAGGGAAACTTATTTGAAATAATAAAAAATATGCCCTTTTTTTTAAAAAGATGCATTTAAAAGGAAATGAATCAATTTTGTTGTCAATTTTCAGAACTTATCATTGAATTCTATTCCCAATAGTGTGGTTTAAAAGCATCAAAATATGTTGCAGAATTTCAGTGGCAAACCAGTGTCAAATCATTTTTCTGTAAGTAATTGGCTAAAGAACATATAGAGAGAGATCCATAGACAAGAGAAGTATGTCTGGTTGTAGAGATGGCGGTGGACCGAAGCGGGGACGGAGGTGTAGTCTCCATCCCTGTACCCGCTTAAAAAAACTTCGTCCATCCCCAGTCCATTGTCGTTAACAGGTATATTTTTAATCTCCATCCCTGTTCGCGGGTAAATTTGTAATCCTCACCCCCGCCTAGTCCCTCGCATTCGCCCCCGCCCCCACCTCTGTCCACCTTATCCGTCCAAGCCCAAGCCCAAGCTCAAGCCAACATAATCCAAAATTCTAAACAAATCTGACATTTTAAATAATTCAACATAATTATAGAATATCATAACATAATTAAAACCTTGTTATTTACATCATAATCCAACATAATACAATTAAAACCGTATCTCCCATATAAATCCAACACAATATAATGCAACACAACATAATGTAACATAACATAATCCAACATAAAAAAATACAAAACACAAAGATCTACATTTTTACAAGCCAAAAACATGAAAAAAAAGTCAAAAAACAAAATAATTTTCAAAAGAAAAAAGCATTCAATAATATATAAATTTATATTCACAACAACATATATATATATATATATATATATATATAAAATAACAATAATAATAATAACGGGTAAAACGGGGACGGGGGTAAGTGTCAGTCCATCCCCGCCTTCATCGCCGCATGAGTTTATACGAATATCCCTGTATACGTTTACCGTCAAATACGTATGGTCTATTTCCAGTCTAAACGGGACGGGTTTGAACGAATACCCATTTTTACCCGATCCATTGCCATCCCTATCTAGCAGATGTAGTTTATTGTCTTCAAAGTAGTTTTTAATCAGACACAAGAACAAGTCCAAAAATTATGTGTAAAACAATCCAAATGTTCCTGTTCTACCCATATATAAAAGCCAAACACTCAAATATGGTATTTGGTTAAGAAAGGTGGAAACTCCTTTGCAAAATGGCAGATGGGGAAGGACAGATTTATATAGAGGAAAATTTTGCACTTCATCTTTTTTAGAAGAAAATTAAGAAATAAAAAAGGGATATCAAATTCACACACTATTTACATCACATGGTCACAAGAACTCATCCACCACTCCCCGATCACACCTAAAAATCACCACCGGCTCTAAATCTATTAAAATTTCGTCATGGAAAACCCCAAAAAGGAAATTTGAAGGATAAAATAGGATGGTGCACTCATGTTCACGATAGAATAAAGCAAATATTCCATTTGGACCTATTGAAGAACAATAATTGGTCAGCAATCAATTTCAAATCGTTATGGATCACGATGAAATTCTTAGAATCTGTCAAATTCTAAAAAATATTCACCAACATAACCTTTACTCTATCATGGTTTCTGGCCAACACAACCAATTGTGTAATTGCAATCATTGTGGGTGCATTTTCAACTGCTCAATATGGTTCAGAATATAGTTCCACAAGGGAGGTGTACAGACAACACCTTCGGACTGAAGAGGCAGGGGCAGGGGCAGGGGCAGGGGCATTCAAGCAGCTACTTCAAATGCCACCAAACAAGTTGCTTGATTTCACTGTTGAAGCTTCAAAACATATAGCTCAACATATTCATGTGAACTCCATGAATGTGCCAAAAATGACTAAAAAAAAGGCAATAAGCACTTGCCAAGTTTTATTGATGGGGTGTGCTAGAGGATGAAACAATCAACAATTCGACCTGTTTTTGTCGTGTAATCCATCCTTAAGTGGGGCCACTTCGGGCATGGTTCAAAGTCGCGGTATCGGTCATCAACTCGGAGGGTACTGATATACATCGGTCGCGGCGCGGTATCGGCAGATACACTCAAAACGCAAGATAGAAACTCCAAAAAAATTTGAAAAAATTATAGAAAATTCTAAAAATATAAACATCATCATTTATGCATCATATGTTCACAATACATCAAAAAAAATACATTAAACATAATTAAAATGAAACATAAAATCGCTAGCGAAAATAATTATCATTATCAATGTTCAATGTAGGCATTAAATTTACATCAAAGTTATATTTTTTTACATTAAAGTTCTAATTTTTTAATAAATATTAAAGTTATAATTTTTTTGATCATTAAACAACAATCCTTGTAATATTTATTCAATAAATAAGTAACTTAAATATAAAAATAATTTAATCGAACCAGTGATCCTTGTAAAATAATGTAAAATAGACTGTTGGAGGGAATCGAACCAGTGACCTGCAAAGTGCTAATTTGCTTCTTTGCGCAATTGATCTACTATTTTTATACTACTTTTAAGACAAGTATAAATATTTAAACAACACTCACTCAAAAAAAAAAAACCCAGCATATATTTTGGGTGAAAATTTGTTTCAATCTTTCTGAGTCTTAGACTTCTCGTCTTCTCGGTCACGATGAGAGAGAGAGAGATGGGTGCAGACAGAGACGAGACCCCCACGGTCCCTCACCAACAGTGAGAACCAACACAGAGAGAGATCCACTCATGAAGAACCGAAAAAGATCGCAATAAAGAACCGAAGTATCCTGATTTCACACAAAAACAGATGAATATGCAGACCTACTGGTATGTCGAATCTTTAGTATTCTTCGTTTTTATAGTTGAAAAAGAGGGTTTTAGATTTCAGGGTTCATGTGCTTTTTGCAATTTTCACATGGGTTTCGAGTCTCGACTGGTAATGGGTGTGCTTTATTTCACATCCCCCTTTTTTTTGAATTTTTCTTCAATTTTCAGCAATGAGTTGAGTGTTTTTTAAGCTTTAATAGAGTAGGTCTTGAATTTTTCTTCTTTCTTTCAGATTTGGGGGGGTTTGTTCATTGACTTGGTCGACTCGGCAAGATTCCGATTTATCTCGGCCGAGTTGAACCGATTGAACATTGAGTCCTTTGATTTCAGACGATATCACCGAGATATCGGTCATACATGTTCAATTCGTGATTTCTACGTTTCGTATACCGTTATCGTATCGCCATAGGCCGAGTCGGATACAACTTGGCCGAGTCATATCGGACTCGGCCAATACTTTGAACCATGACCCCAGGTGAATTTCCCAAGATGGCCTTTAGGCTCAATTGATTCGAAAGGATACTAATATTGGCATACACTGAAAAATAACTCATACTCCCTTTTTTGCAATAGCTAACTGTCCCTTCACCTATATAATTATAAGGAGGCAAAGGAGAAGGAAGAAACATAGTTTACTTTCTTTTACCCTCATATGCTCAAATAACACAAGGGTGTTGGTTGAAGAAGAAAGGAGAATAACATGTTGCTACATTCAACTTAAAGGTGGCAACATGTTATCCTCCTTTCTTCCCCTAATAGATTGCGGGGCACACGTGCTACGTGTGCAAATTGTTGCTCTAATGTTTATACAAACTATTCTTCTGGATTTAAAGAGAGGTTATAATTGCTTACTAAGTTTTGAGACTTCAGAGAGTTTAACTGGTGGTTATAATCACTTACCAAGTTTTGAGACTTTAGGGAGTTGAATAGGTGGTTATAGCGGGAGTGGATAGTTATATTGGATTAGTGGACTCTGGCAGTTAAACACAATCTGCCATAGACTATTAACTGCAATTATCTATTACTACAAACTATTAGTTAAGGGAAAGGGCACCAAACCCCACTCTCTCTTTAAATTTGAACACGTAATATGTGTGCCAATTGTTGATCTGAAGTTTATTCAAACTATTCTTCTTAAAAAAAACAATGAGGGCTTAAAGAGTGGTTATAATCTCTTACAGATTTTTGACACTTTAGCAGGGTCGCATCCACTACCAAAGGAATTCACGGGCTGGAAAGGATTGGAGGGATCCAATTTTTCTCTTCCTTTCCTTTTTATTATAAACAATGGAAAATATCCCTTCTCCATCACATGTAATTCCTTGCAATGTTCCCCTCTTAAGCTTACTTATGTCAACCCTGTATTTAATCGCATCCTTGATCACATATAACTAGCCAAAAAATCCTTAATACCATAAAAAAAAAATTTGTTGATAATTAAAACAAATATAGCGAGCCATAGACACCGATACCATTAATGCACCAACCCCACATCATGCTATAACCATGACACAATCCCAAATCACTTCTTAAGAGGGTTCATCTCCATTTCTAAAGGGAATTGCTCAACAAAAAAGGCTTGACTTTCACTTGTGGGGAACGAAAGGAGGACGTCAATGGACTCACTGTCAGTTCACACGCCCCCACTGCCAGCCCCATCCCCACCGAAAACTCTGGCTTGAGAGATTGTTGGCCAATTTGGCCAGTCTGGGTATGTCCCTCCTAAACCCACACAATTGCATTCATACATCTACTTGTACTAAATACCTAACCAATTGATAGAAAAAAAAATTCATGTGAACAAGGTTATGGGTTTGGCCCCATCTATTTCTTCTTACCATTAGTTACAAACAACTCCTAAACCGCACAATTGCATCCATACATCTACTTATACTACATAACCAATTCATAGAAAAAGAATTTCGTGTGAACAAGGTTATGGGTTTGGACCCATCTATTTCTTCTTACCATTAGTTACAAACAAAAATACATAAACAACAAACAGTTACGAACGCATAAAGGAGAGATATATTTGCATAAAACGCATGAGCATTTTCCATGCAATCTAAAATAACCCTCAAATCAAACAATATTACTGATAAATTCAACCAATAAATTCATCCATACACAATAAAAAATCAAGAATTCAGAATAAATCAGACATATGCGCTAAAATACATACATACAACAAAATTATATGAAACTTACCACATGCTACCACGGTATTTGAGGGTGTACGGCCCACTCTCTAACGCCCTCCCAAAATGGCTATGAATTTTGTGCCTCTCATTTCCACTCTGATCCATGAGCGACAATTCGAACAACGCCCTCACATCCGTCCCTTCGCTCGCTAAAGCGATAAACAACGATACGTACGCGGCATTATCTTCGACGCTTTTCCCGTCCGGGTAAAAATAAATCGCCCACAAATGGCCCCCACCACGAATGTATCAGAAGCTATGTACTTTCCGATTCCCATGCCTTTTGATAATGAATAACCAGTGATCTTGAATTCGTGGTATCCATTCACGGTCTCGGTACGAGAGGTCGATGTGGTGCTTTGTGAGAATTGTGAATTTGACCGTTTTGAGGTTTCTTCGGAAACCCTAATCGTGCCCATCTAGAAATTGACTCAGAATCTTTACAGAGAGTTGGGTTTTTAGGGTTTGCAGAGGTGGGTATTGGGATAATAGAAACCGATCACAATTCAAATGCAAGATTAATGGGTTTTCAAAAATATTGAAAATTTGAGCAACTTGGGTTTGGAATTAGGGTTTGAATTAAGGGTTTTGGGAGGGAATTGAGGGATCTATGGTGGGATTTGAAGATTCTTAAAGGTTTCAGATGAAGATTTTCGGTTTTGATTGCAGTGTGTATGTATACAATTATCCAAATTGCATACACACACAGTTTCGTGGGTTGACGTTGAAAACGTAAGGGTGAATGGTTTCTTTATAGGAGAGACTTGCATGCAAATTAATTTCTTTTTTATTATTTATTACAGCGAGGGAGTTCCCTTTTTTTTCTAATTTAATTAAAAAGGTAAATTACATTTTCACCCCCTGAACTTTGTCACTAAAACACCTAGACCCCCTCAGGTATGACATATTACAATTACACCCCCTATCAGTCATGGTCAACCAACACATCTAACAGACGTATTAAAAGGACTATTTTACCCTTATTCAAAATAAATAAAACCATCCTACACCAAAACCCAATGCCAGACCCCTCCACCGACACAGAACCTCTCCCTTTCTCTCTTTTTCCAATGCCCACCACCGACCTCTTCTCTCTCTCCCCGTGTTCAATCGCTAAACAGCCACCACCATAACAGCCACCACCATTAACAACCACCACACTGAAACAGTCCATCAAACCCACCAACGACCCCTATGTATTCTATCGCTAACAGCCACCACATTGAAACCGTTCATCAAACCCACCATCGAACCCTCCCTCTCTCTCTGTGTTCTATCGCTAATCGCCCATCAAATCCACCGCCATAACAGCCACCATCAAACCCATATAACCGAAACCGTCCATCAAACCTATATAACCGAAATCGCCCGTCAAACCCACCACCATAATAGCCACCATCAAACCCATATCACCGACCAGCCAGACCCATCAATACATCATCACTATCGCCTGTCCAAACATCCTCTTCCCTACTGCTTGGTCCCGCCTGTGTGTGGTGTTTTTGTGTGAAGAGAGAGTGGAAGAATTTGCCAGTTGGTGGAGTTGGCGGTTGTGACTTCGGTGGGTTGGGCAAAGAGAAGATAGTGGTGGTTGAAGTTTCGTGGGTGGTGCGGTGGCGACACAGGGTGGTGGAGGTTTTTTTTGCTGTGAAGTCAAAAATTTTGGGTTTTGCAGATATTTAGTGGTTTAGGATGGAAATTTCAAGGGTAGTTTAGGAATTCTGTATAAAGGATAAAACACAAAATTAAATATTTGATAAAATTGAGGGTTAATTACTATAGGAGCAATACTATGATGCACAAATATTTGACCAAAATTTGTATCTCAAATCAATGTAGATGGTTGGATTAGCGAGATCCATTAATTACACAAAATATTCAATATATGAGATTTTGACACATCACTTGGATATAAGATTTGTGTAGCACAAACTTTATCTTTACATTATAGGTCTCTAAAGTATAGAGTTTGTTTCATTTTGGTCCCTAATATTTTAACTGCATCATTATGATCTCTGAAGTATTTAATATATTTTTATGTGATCCCTTAAATAGACAATATATAAATTGCATATAATTTTTTATCATAAATTTGTCATATGATACCTAAATATGAATAAAAAAATAATTTGGGTAGCTCTGACCAAAATTTGGGTAACTCTTGGTAAAAAAATGTGTAATATGGGGTAGCTATTGACTAAAATTTGAATAGTTCATAATCAAAATTGTAAAATTTTGATAGTTCTTTGATCAAAATTTGAATAGAAATTTGGTCAAGAGTTATTCAAATTATTTTTTTACTCATATTTGGGTATTACGTGACAAATTTTAAAATAAAAAGTCGTTAACAATTTGAACGTTGTCTGTTTGAGGGATTACATAGAAACATATTTAATTTTTCAGGGACTAAAATGATGCAATTGAAATATTTTGGAGATCAAAATGAAACAAACTACATATATTGGGGACTTCTAGTGCAATTAATCTTAAAATTAATACTTATTGTAATCTAATGTTTGGTAAGACGCTAGATAAGAGTGAAATAATAGAGTTTTAATTACATTTTGACCAAAAAATTATCAATCTTGTCTAATTATTAATATTTTTATCTATTTTGTAATGAAATAGTAAATTTATAACCAAATACACTTGAATTAGATTTTAATACCACCTAAGAAGGTGGTATTATAATCAGCTCACTGATACGGATAGAGTGTATTATTTGGATATGCATTTAAAATAAGACTATGTATAATATAAAATACTAGTCATTACCCGTGCCTAAATGTAATATATAACAAACAAAAAAATCTTAAACAATTGCTCAAATTCAAAATGAATTACCTTAAAAAAATCTTATACAAATGCCTCCATGAAAAAAAAAACTAACATAGCACATTGAAATTTATAATTTTTAAGCAAAAAATAAAATAAATAAACATTACTTATTTATAAGATTCACAAATTTATCATATTTATTACCACTCAATCTAATATCACAACATGATTATAAACTCAATCATCATATTTTCAATCCATCATATCCCCATATAATAAATACCTCAACCAAAAAAACAATATGCTAACATAACACAATTAAATTCACAATCTTTAAGCAATAAATAAAATCAACCAAATCTTTCTCATTTTATAAAACTCATGAATTTATCACTACTATTAACATTCAACCCCAAAATAACACAACATAATTATAAATTTAATCACCAAATATCCAATATTTCACATATAAATACACACAAAAATACACCCACTCACATTTATTCTTTGGTTATTAGCAAACTCTCATACCTAATAATTGTTTTCATTAGAAATAAATTAATTCAAGTTTTTAAGATAAAATAATAAAAAATTAATTTCCAATTAAAAAAAGGTAAAAATCATGGACATCTCTTGAGTTTTGACAATATTATACGGACACCCCATAATATTTTATAAATAACATAGAGACCCCTTAAGGTTTGAAATTCATTACACAGAGACCTCTTCTGTTTCCCTTCTGTTAATGTTGCTAACGAAAATTGGTGATTTCATCTCAAAAATTTTTATTATTTTACAATTGTCCTTCTCCAAATTTAGTACCAACAAAATTTAATAAAATCAAATAAAATTTAACTTAGTACCAAAAAAATTGATTAAATGAATTTCAATATTAATTTGATAACAACAAAATTAATTTGATATTAATTCGACAAAGTTGAATGTAAATTGAATAAAATTAAATGTCAATATATGATAAAATTATATATTAATTTACAATCTAAGGTTCATTTTGTACTGTATATTATTTGGTGTTTATAATCAATGTGCTATTTTTTATTTACATTAAGTATTATTTATAAATTAAGAAGCAAGTGAAAAAAATACATGTCATCGGATATATAAAACTTTAAATTAGTTTCATAGAATAAGTAATTTAATAACATGTAGTTTCATCTATTTTATGGAGTAAATAATAACAAAACAACACATGAAAAACCAAAAAAGAAAAGAACAGGTAATAGTATGACAGAGAAATAACTAGAAAGTTATATGAGAGATGAGAGTCTTAGAGTTGTAAAAGAAATGAAAATCTAATTAAGATCATCGGATCAAAATGATCTAAATCACGAAAAGTTTAACATAAATAATTTAGCTACTTTATTTTATAGACTAGTCATTGCATATAAGTGAATGCATTATACAACAAACAAAAAAATCTTAAACACTTGCCCAACTTCAAAAATAATACTCTAAAAATATTTATATCAATTCTTCTTTTAAAATAGCTCGAAATATATCGTCGATCATATTTTTCATATAAATGGAACTCTCATAAAAATATATAAAAACTCTCCAAAATAATATCATATATACAAATGCCTCTGCAAAAAAAAATAAATACTAACATAACCTATTGAAATTTACAATCCTTATGTAATAAATAAAATTCTGCTCATTTATAAGACTCGCAAATTTATTACATCTACTACCACACAATCTAATAACACTTCATAATTATAAACTCAACCACCACATTTTCAATCCACCATATCTCCATGTAATAAATACCTCAAGCAAAAAAAAAAATGCTAACAAAACACAATTAAATTCACAACTTTTAAGCGATAAATAAAATCAATTAAATCTTGCTCATTTATAAAACTCATGAATTTATCATCACTATCACCATTCAACCTCAAATATAATCACCAAAAATTTAATCATCCACATATAAATATCAACAAAAATACACACACACACATTTCTTTTCTAGTTACCAACAAATTCTTCTAACCAACAATTATTTTTATTAGAAATATAATAATTTAAGTTTTTAAGGTAAAATAATAATAAATTGATGTTTAATTAAAAACAGGGTAAAAATTACGGATATCCCTTGAGGTTTGAAATTTATTGCATAGAGACTCCATTTGTCTATGTTACTAACGAAAATTGATAATTTCATCTAAAAACTTTATTAATTTTATAATTTCCCTTCTCCAAAATTAGTATAAAAAAATAAAAAATTTAATAAAATCAAATAAATTTTGATTTAATACCCAAAAAATTGATACAATTTAGCACTCCAAAAAATTAATTAAATGAATTTCAATATTAATTTGATAACAATAAAAATTAATTTGATATTAATTCGACAAAGTTAAATATAAATTAGATAAAATTAAATGTCAATTTTTGATAAAATTATATATTAATTTATAAGCTAAGGTTAATTTCGTGTTTACTATTATTTGATGTTTATAATCAATGTTCTATTTTTTATTTACATTAAATATTATTTATAAATTAAGAAGTAAGTGGTAAAATACAAGCCTTCAGATACATAAAAAATTTGAATTAGTTACATAGAATAAATAATTGTATAACATGTAGTTTCATCAGTTTTATGGAATAAATA